TAGGCTGTAGATTAACTGTGAAAAATTATTAATTTGAAACTGCATGTTTCAAAAACACGCACTAGTGTTGCCAATGTTAAGGAAGAGTTCAGGTGAACTACAGCACCTCTGTGTTATAGTTTTACTCTGCATCTCCAACGCCTCAGGAAAAATTCCTGATTGTACTGTTAGTTGTTGGTCTCACAAGCCAGTTCTGGTTTCCCCTGCCATGATATTGCTGGAATACTGTTAAAAGCGGCGTAAAACTAGACTCACTAACTGTCCGACAGGTCCTAGAAAATACATTTTAAAAAAATGAATAAAATTAATTGAATAGAAGTCTAGAATAATTTGGTAAATTGGCTTTTAGAAATTGAGGATTGATCAGGGCTCCATTTGGATTTGTTTTGTAGATAAGTAAAGGATCAAAACCAACTCCGAGGTTTTGTTTGAAAAAGTAAGCCCGCAGCAGAGGGAAATTGGGGGTGCCGACAGAATGAACCTACCGAAAGATAAACTTCAGACATAATTATCCCCCGCAACGCGTTTTGCAGGGGGGGTATTAAAATGGACTCCGTCCGTGTGTGCGTGCGTGCGTCCATCCTTGCACATTTCTCTTTTCTGGAGCAGAACTCTAAACCGTTCAATATTTCTTCACCAAACTTGGCACATAGATAGATCTGGTGGTGTACTGGTGCCTTTTGGTAGTTTTGGAATTCTGAATAAAATATTTTTGGCTTTTCCATGGCAACAAGTCTGACTTAGCCTGAAATTGGTGGTAGTGCTCTTTTCCGGAGCTGAACTTTTAAACCGTTCACTATTTCTTCACCAAACTTGACACATAGATTGGTCTGGTGGTGTACTGGTGCCTTTTTGGTAGTTTTGGAATTCTGAATAAAATATTTTTGGCATTTCCATGGCAACAAGTTTGACTAAAACAGAAATTAGTGGTAGTGCTCTCTTCCAGAGCAGAACTCTAAAACCGTTCAATGTTTCTTCACCAAACTTGGCACATACATAGATCTGGTGGTGTACTGGTGCCATTTGGTAGTTTTGGATTTCTGAATAAAATATTTTTGGCATTTCCATGGCAACAAGTTTGACATAGACTGAAATTGGTGATAGTGCTCCTTTCTGGAGCAGAACTTTAAAAACTTTTCAATACTCTCCTTCCACTTTTCTATATACACACCTAAATATTTGACATAATCATAACTCGTAGATATAATCATGAAGAGTATTTTGCCATTGCGGGGGATATTGATGACTTTGTCTTCTCGTTTTAATATTTGGTATTTACTGTTGAAATCAATTCGGATGGGAATGGCAGCCGACACCTTGCCTTGCACACGCAATGCAAGTGCTCTGCACGCTCTACTCGTGTCCTGCATGTGCGCGCTGCCTGCACTACCCGTCTTGTGAGGACCACATGGTTCATACTGTCAAACAATCTCATTCTTCACAGCGATCCTTTGTAGCCTAGTGGATAAAACTGCCAAGCCAGTAAGCAGACGGTTGCAGGTTCAAAGCCAGGTATTGGCACTATATAATAGAATAATGTGATATTTTACGATCATGTTCAGTTTTAGCAAGACAAAGTTATATCAATGATCAAAACAAGTAATAATTCAAAGTCAAGGGCAATTCCTCAGAAAATCCCCAGGATGCAGGCAATTCTGTAGAAAATCCACGGGATTTCATGGAGAATGCCCGTGAAACTACCTGTAGAGGTTTACTCAGTAAAAGGAGAATCTAGCGAGACAATAGAGTGACGTTACTGGAGGTTTATAAATATATTTATTCATATTTTCGAAAACAAAGACTAACTTTCTGGGACTGTCAGTCTTTGTAACGTACCTGCTTGTAGGACTATTGGCAGTGGTCTATACCACATTGCCTGATGACTGGAAGTGGTTTATATTGAGGTTTTCTTTCTCTTTGTTTATAAGGTGTAATCTGATTAATTCAACATTGACAGATTTTAATAACAATCTGTCCTCAGTTCAGGTAAGTGACTCCATCTGTGTGATGCATGTCACAGACGTGGAAGTAGAAATTCTGTTGGTGCATCGTAACTCAAAACTCTGGAGATGTTTCTTTTCAGCTGGTAAGACATTCTAAGATGTTTACAGGCTACATATTTATATACAACAGCTAGCAGGGACGGATCGAGGAACTGGATGATTGGGGACATTTGGGCCCGTGTGTTAAAAAGTCAGGTGACATTCATCAAAAACAGGGACACAATACCAAAGCATGTTTTCTTGATGAAATCCTTCTAAGTCTTGGAGAATAGTACGGAACAAACAATAGTACAGAACAAACAAATACTTTATTTACTGTAAGCGCAGATTTATCAACACTGAAATGTCACATGATGCATCAGTTAGATGTGATAAACAATCTGGGTTGTCAATGCTTTTGTCTGGCGAGGTTTCACTTACAATTAGTATGAGCAGTCTGTTAATATTTATAGCAGACAAATGAGACCAAGGGGAGTGAAATTTATAGGACATATTAGACTTCTGTGTGCTGTAAGATCTTTGACTGCAATGGATGCTGCAATAAATGTTGCTTGAACATTAACCTCAGAAAAATGATGAATTTTACAATAGCTATATTTGAGTAAGTGAGTTTATTTTTACTCCGCTTTTAGCAATATTACAGTCATTCTCTTCCCACAGAGGTTACTCCTGTCATATCTTCCTACGTAACCTCTGTTCTAATACGGCCCTTTCATGGTGTTCGTTCAAGACTCGTGATTGGAGGCAATCAGATTTAGTTGTGCAATCAGCAACGTTGTTTCAAAAGTGGTCATTCGCAAGGCCTCGGTAATTTCCGTATGCTTCGAGAAAACTAAATTTCTTCCCCTGCGCGATGCGCAAACGTTTCTTCTAGACAGAACTCAGTCATGTTATGGCTGCTCAGTGGCGTTTCCATCGCCCTCGTTGACAACGGACAAGCTAGCCATTAAACGTCTTGTGTGTAACATCAACACAAGTCCCTGGCAGATGGGGGATATTTGTGGCCCCACATTTGCTTGTGTTAGTCAAGTTGAATCTAAGTCGATATAACACGTGTTCTGATTGGATAGAAAGAAGGGAGATAATTAGTGTTGCAATCTTTTGCCGCTAGGGGATTTTACGAGAACCGGGAAATATGGCCGTATTAGAACAGAGGTTCGTAGGAAGATATGACAAGTAACAGTGTAGGAAAGATAGCCCGTCCCAACGTCCGAGACGGGTGAATTTTGTGGAGGACGGGTTAAAAAAATATCTAGTCCGTCCTCATGTCGGGTCAATTTTAGCAAACCAATGACATATATATTATGATTATAACCTTTTTGAATATTTACTGCCGAAGGTGTTTTATTTATATTTGGAGGACAGGCTAGATTTTGCCAGGACTGGTAAAAAATTTGACCTGCCAGTCCTGTGGACAGGCTAGATTTTCTACATCTTTCCTACACTGCAAGTAACCTCTGTGGGAAGAGAATGTATAACAGTGGGCACACCAGAAATGGGCTTCACACATTGTACCCATGTGGGGAATCGAACCCGGGTCTTTGACGTGACGAGGGAACGCTTTAACCACTTAGTTACCCAACCACCCCGTTATATTTGAAAATAAGCGTGAAAGTGAAGGGGGCCTAGTCATAAAGATAATGTTGATATACAAATAAATTAATGGGTCTCTAAATTCATCTGCTGGTAGTACATGAGCAAACTTCAAGACCTGTCTTTACATACAACAGTTGTGAAACCAATATATAATTTATGGATACTGAAACAGCTGTCTGATGCTTTCATTTCTTTATGATATCAATCTGAGAAAACACATACATGTAACAATTAAAAGTGTGATGGGTTATGTAATCATCATTTAATCATTCTTAATTATAAGATAAGATAGGTCACAATGACCATGAGTATTTTGAGCTAACCAGTGTTCACGAATGGTGTTTCAAAGTAACAGGACATTGGGTCCTGTAAGTTTCAGATGTCTGTCTGACCCATTGAAAATTCACAGGACCCATAGAATAAAATTAGACAAACATTTCAGTTTTAACATTTCTTATAACTGGCATTGAAATTATTAACAAACATAAGATTTTTAAACATCAAACAAATGTCACATGTCACATATAACAACTTCAGTCAAAGTCATTGTGAAATATACAGTCAGACACTGGGGCCGGCGGGTTGAAGACTTCTATCGGACCGTTGGCGAAACTGCCGGATTTGTCAGAGGGTCAGACACTATTCGTAAACACTGGAGCTAACACGCGACGATCTTTCTGGGTAGAATCTGATTTGCAGACCTGTATTGACAAACTACAATGAGTAATTGTGATAGCTTTGCGTTAAAATTTTATACATATTGTGGTCCCTAGTTTACAATAGTATATGAGCATGGGTACTGGACCCAATGACCCCCAACCCCCTTAGCAGCGTTCGAAATACCTACCTGCCCAACCACCCGGGATGGGTTATTTTCAACACAGACTGCCAGATTCTCAAATTCACCTGCCCGACGGTCGGGTTAAAATTTAGACATGTATATGAAGATATTTTGTGGGTGCCAGGTAAGTTTAGGTCAGGACTGGCAAGTTTTACATGGTTGAAATTATTGGGATTTTCATACCCTGCCCTTAATATTGAACTCTGGAAACTAAGCTTGCTTAGGTTGGTTGGTTTGTTGTTTTACGCCACACTCAGCAATATTCCAGCTATATGGTGGCGGTCTGTAAATAATTGAGTCTGGACCAGACAATCCAGTGATCAACAGCATGAGCATGTGTCAACCAAGTCAGCGAGTCTGACTACCCGACCCTGTGAGTCTCCACTTACGACAAGCTTGGGTTGCTTAAGACCAATTCTAACCTTGATCTTCACGGGTGAGCTTGCTTAGGAATAAGACTATACTGGACCACCCAATCAGGTGTTGAAGGTACACATGTTTCACTGTTAGGTCTTGTTCATGTCAGCTGTTCTGAAGTCATGCATGTGATTCTGTTGCAGGTGTATCTGAGTTTGGTGTGGCATGGAGGACGAATCAGTCTAGCATATTACGATATTGACACCATGCTGATTCACCTTATGCTGGACACTGAAGAAACAGACAATTTTTCCATACTTAAAAGAGGTAATTACATGCTTTTTACATATTTTCATTTCAGGTGTGACAGCACAAAATATGTACTCAAAGGCCAAAATATTATTTTATTGGTAATCTTGTGAATGATTTAGGGGATTTGAACCAGAGACAGAATGTGTTAAAGAGACTTAAATGTGAAAAGTTGCATGAAACAGGACGTACTTGAGAAAAATGGCAAGCAATGTTCACTTACAAAGGGCCGACAACCAGACACTTATCATTTCCACTTGATGCAGTACTAAGTCTTAAGAAGTGCAGAAGTCCGAAAAATCTTCTATTCAACACTCTAAAACAAGTTTGACATGCCACACCTCTGGATAGCTACCAGGTGTTAATACAATGTATTCTCCAGTCTGTCACTTTGCTACATCTATATAAACACCATGTGGCACTTGAGATATTTTCAGAGAAACAGTCAAATTATAGACTGTCCATGTAGTGCCCCCCCCTCAGGAGTAATGACCACACGTCAAGACTTTATACATTCGAAACACACACTGACAATCCAGGTTCCAGTTGACTAATGCTTAGTCTCTGAATATATATATAATTTTGATTGTAACAAATAAACCCTTTAAAATGAAAAGGAACCCCAGGGAGACCAGAGATTTAGACTGTCTATCTAAATTTTATCTTTGAAACTGAAAATGCTTAGTGAATTTTATGGTGAAATGTAGACTAAAGCTTTGTCTCTGGATATATAATTTTGATTGTAACAAATAAACCCATTTAGATTGAAAAGTGGGGGCTTTATGATCTGGGCCGAGATAACAGCTGCAGCAAGGCTGATCACTTCAGTGCTGGCATAATAATTAAAAATTACCCACTGTCACGTTAAGGTAATGACCCCTGCTCATTGGCTCAACCATGTGTGGTCGTCTAGAGACACCATAATGACCGCACCAGTGACTAAGATAAAATATTATATAATAAAAAAGAGCACAACCAAACAGTAATGTTAATACATTTATTAGGACTATACATGTAGATCTGAATAACCCAAATTAAAATTGCAATATGTATCAATGAGCTGAACTCCTAATAAGCCTATATGGACATGAAGAACCAGTTATAATAAAAATACCCCTGACAGGAATAGTGTATTACGTGAAGTAATAATTGGAACGCCAGACTGAAGGTAAGATTACAAGGAACTTACCAGCATATTCCTGTGTCCAGCGTTCCAAGAGGTCCTAGTTGGAGTGAGTCCACCGTGGGAACTGCCCCCAACTAGAATGGTTTGAGAATTTATAGGGAGTTGCCGGACGTCAGAGGGGACAACCTCTGACTTGGCCAAGAAAGATTGAAAATGATACTTGAAACTTAGAGACTGTGTTTCTCAAGCATCAAGTTTTATGATAAAGCCAAAAAATATTCATTAATCTTATGAATCAAATCTGGACATGTGATAGCAGACGTTAGTGGCTACCATCACATATTATTTTAATTGTTCTACATTCACTAATAATGAAGATATAGTCTCAATAAAGACTTGAAAATAGTCTTCTATTGGCATTAATAGAGGAAAATACTGTATTTCTCCCAAAATAAACACGTTTATATAAATTAGATCATATAGACGGAAAACTGAATATTATGGGCTAGTTGCATGATACAAGATTTAGGTTAGGTTCAAAAGTTGACTTTAATACTTGACATGATATGTCCGTGACAAGCACACATGGACTACATAAATTGTATTGAAGTCAACTTGATGCAGGGTTTCGTCACATGACCCCCCCTCAAAATTAGGAAATTTGCTATACATAGATGTGTACAAATTTGCTGACAAATTAATAATTAACACCATTACGTGAAAACAATGAATATGATAAACATGCATACACATATACATGTAGTGAATATATCTGACAACCATCAAACTAATCAACAGTTGTATGCCTTGTCGTAGACACAGTCACATGACTTAATGATAATAACATCAATCACATCACATCAAGCACATCTCGATAAGGCGTCAGCAATAATGTTATTGCTTCCTTTGATGTGTTCAATTTTAATAGGGTACTCCTGGAGCATAAGACTCCATCGCAACACCCGCTGGTTTGTGTCCTTCATCCGATGGATAAATGTTAATGGGTTATGATCAGTGTAGACCATAACCTGATGCGAAGCACATCTTACATAAATTTCAAAGTGCTTTAACGCCAAAACCAGTCCTAATGCTTCCTTCTCCACAGTAGAATAGTTAAGCTGATGCTTGTTGAACTTCCGTGAGAAGTAGCTCACTGGATGGTCCATTCCCCTGTCATCTTCCTGGAACAACACTGCTCCACATCCTAAGGCACTTGCGTCCACAGCTAGTTTGAAAGGCTTTGTGAACACGGGTGCAGCTAACACTGGTGTGGAACAGAGCATAGTCTTCAGGAGCTGGAAACCGTGCTTTCGCAGTCTTCTGTCCAGTTGAACTTCACCCCTTCTTCAATAATGCTGTAATAGGAGCTGCCACTGAAGCAAAATTTGGACAGAATCTTCGATAATAACCAGCCATTCCCAGGAACCGACGCACCTCCTTACATGTTTTAGGTTGAGAAAAGTTGATAATACTATCAACTTTAGCTGTGATTGGAGCTACCTTCCCCAAGCCAACTATGTGTCCAAGGAATGTAACTTGTGCTTGACCAAATTCACATTTTGCCAAGTTGACTGTCAAGTTTGCTTCCTTGAGACGAGTAAACACTTCCCTCAGAGTAGCCAGGTGATCCTCCCAGGTGTCAGATCCAATAATGACATCGTCGATGTATACCTCCACACCAGCAATATTCGCTAGTACCAGATTCATCAACCGTTGAAAAGCTGCAGGTGCCGTCTTCAGTCAAAGGCATGACCCGATACTGATACAGGCCATCTGGGGTCACAATAGTCAGGATTCTCTTGGCACGTTCTGTTAATGGGATTTGGTAATAGCCCTTAAGGAGGTCAAGCTTCGTTATGAAGACAGCATGGCCAACATTATCAATGCAGTCATCGATGCGTGGTAGAGGGTGAGAGTCGGCCTTAACCAATCGGTTAATCTGTCTCAGATCAGCACACGTCCGAATTTATTGCCAGGCTTTGGCACCAGGATACATGGAGAACTCCAATCACTGTTAGACGGCTCTAGTATGTTGTTGTCCAGCATGTATTGGATTTCTTCTTTGAGATAGGCCTTCTTCTGTGGATTCATTCTGTAAGGATGTTGTCTCACAGGAGGGGCTCCTTCCACGTCCACATCATGCATCATGACATTGGTTACGCTTGGAGTATCGGGGAACAAGTCCTTAAATTCTTCAATGATAGCTGTTAAATCATCCCGCTGAGTATCAGTTGTGTGCTGCAACTTAGAGTCCAAGTCATTCAAGATATCACTATTGCATAACTTGATGTCTACAACGTCACTTTCTTCCAGTGACTCCTCACTGTCATTCCCACTCACTGTCATTACTGGTTGTACAGTCAGACGCTCGTGGTATGCCTTCAACAGGTTTACATGGCAGAACCTAGTCTTCCTACCTCGGTCTGGCGTGTTAATTACATAACCTGTCTCACTAACCTTGCTTCTGACTGTGTATGGTCCAAAAAACTTGGATTTTAATGAAGAACTTGGTATAGGTAGATATACTAAAACCTTGTCACCTGGTTTAAACACCCTGACCTTGGCCTTTCTATCAAACTGACCTTTGATCCTAACCTGGGCCTGTTGTAAATGTTTTCTAGCTAACTCAGTAGCTTGCCACAACTTATCTTTAATTCGTGACACATAATCCAACAACTCCTCAGACCCAGTTTCCTGAAGCCAACTATCTTTGACCAATTTTAATGGTCCCCTAGGAGTATGACCATAGACAAGTTCAAATGGTGAAAACCCTAGTGATTCCTGCTTAGCATCTCTAGCTGCAAACAATACAAAGGGAACTCCAACGTCCCAGTCCCTCTCATGCTCTTCACAATAACATCTTAACATGCTTTTCAGACTTTGATGGAAACGTTCTAATGCACCTTGAGATTCGGGGTGATAAGCACTAGATCGAATTTGACGAATGCCAAGCAACACCATAACTTGCTGAAACAGTTTTGACATGAAATTTGAACCCTGATCAGACTGAATGTCACCAGGTAACCCTGTCAACGTGAAGTACTTAATCAAAGCTTTTGCTACAACTGCTGCAGTAACTTTCCGTAAGGGAATTGCTTCCGGGAACCGTGTATTAACACACATTATTGTCAGAAGGTATTGGTTTCCTTGACTAGTTTTAGGAAGTGGACCTACAACATCAATTAATACCTTGGAGAATGCTTCCCCGTCAACTGGTACCAACTTGAGAGGGGCTGGAGGTATGACTTGATTTGGCTTGCCAACCACTTGACATACATGACAAGTTTTGCAATATAATTCAGTATCATGGTACATGCCTGGCCAAAAGAAATCACTGGAAACCTTATCATAAGTTTTTTGTCCTTCCCATGTGACCAGCAAACAAACTCTCATGAGACAGGCTGAGAATATCCTGCCTATAAGGCTTTGGTACTACCACCTGATACCGAATACCAACATCAGTTTCATCCCCAGTCTCACCCTTGCCACTCTTCCTCATTAATACACCGTTGTGAACATAGAAACATGTATTTTCCATATCAACCTGTTTATCATCTACCACACTCGTCCAAGCATCCCTAAGAGTACTGTCCTCTCTCTGTGCCTGACACAAACTAGCCTTATCCCAGCCTATCAGACTCCCGCCTGGCACATTACTGTCCTGTGCCTTATCATCACACTCAGACTCGATTGTCTTGGATTCCAAACTACTCTTAGCTTGAGAACTATCATCGGTAGATGCCGCAAATGCTTTAGACAGACAAGTATCAGATAAACCTAGGAAATCACCCTTAGGCTGTTCTGTGCTTGTCATAGACCTTGTGGTCACACAAGCAGGGAAAATGTCGGCATTCTCCTTACTGTTCACTGTCACTGGAGAACTAGATACCTCTAGGACCTCTACACAGCCTTTGTGACAACAGCTATCTGTTAGATCATTTCCTAACAAGATATCCACACCCTTAATAGGTAACTCATCCACAACTCCCATTAGCACTTCTCCTGATACAAATTCGGATTTGATGTGAAATCTGTGCAATGGAACTGACCGATAGACTTTACCTACCATCTCAACTACCACACTTGTCCCAGTAGCAGACTTTTCAGGATTAGTAACCGCACTTGGAACAATGAGAGTTTGCCAAGCTCCCGTGTCCCTGTACATAGTTACTTGTCTTTGAGAACTCTCCTGACCTACTTCACTAACAACACCATCAGATATGTACTTTTCATACTTCTGCTCAGGCCGCTGTGAATGCACGGCAGTACCGAGTGATGGTTGAGCTGTACTGCTAACAAAACCCACCACTTTTTGATTGTCATTTTTCCTCTTATAACAATCTACAATCAAATGATTGTTCATCCCACAATAAGCACATTTAGGTTTTGATGCTTTATCACTATTAGATGCTTTTGGATTGAGTCTCCCATTCTGAATAGCCTCACCCTCAGATTTATTGCCATTGCCTAGAGCGCCACCCTTCTGATTAGACCCTGGTTTCCCTGATTGCTTGTTGTCATACTTAGACACATTAGACTGTTGTCCTACTGTTGATTTATGTATTAGTACATAATTGTCAGCAGTTATTGCTGCCTCTTGCAATGTAGTAACCTTTTGGTCCTCCACATGAATTCTTAAACCAGCTGGCATACAGTTTTTTATTTCCTCCAAGATAAACAACTCTCTTAATTTATCCAGATTTCCATCTATTCCTTCTGCCCGATACCACTTATCAAATAAGCTTTCTTTATGGAAAACAAACTCGCAGTAAGTTTCACTTTCGGATTTTCTTAGTTTCTGAAACTGTTGTCGGTAAGCCTCACTGGTTAATTGATAAGCCCTTAGAACAGCAGCCTTCAGTTCTGGATACGATCTAGCCTGAGTATCGTCTAAGGAGTTGTAAGCCTGGGTAGCCTTTCCTTTAAATTTACTCTGAATCAGAATATGCCAGTATTCTTTCGGCCATTTTAGCTCTATAGCTACCCGCTCAAATTGATGAAAGAATCTTTCAACTTCATTCTCATCAAAATTAGGGACTGAACGATAGCATTCATTCACCTTAAAGCTACCAGTATCCTGTTCATGAACCCTATTCCTCAACTCAAGCTGCTTAAGCTTCAACTCATGCTCCATCCGAACTTTTTCTCTTTCAAACTCTCTCTCCTTCTCTTGCATTTCCAATTTCTTAAATTCTAGTTTCTGTTCATAAGACAGATTATCGCCGAAATTGAACTGATCATCAGAACTACTTCCATCCCCCCTAGACGCGGTTTCAGGTGGTGAAGTTATTAAAGCCTCTATCAACGTATCCCTTATCTCTCTTACATTCATTGACTGGTCAACACTAACATCATTAGCACTGGCCATTTTCAAAAGGTCCTCCTTGTTAGTCCTTCTTATCATGGCAACAGTTGGTTGGCTCAATTCAGACATTGTAGAAAGAATATATCACACTCTCTCTGACCTCTCAAGCAGGTACCAAAGTATCCTAACTGTAGATACCGTAACAACTACCCGAGTCCTGGCACTAGAACAATAGACCATTAAGATCCCGGACGAGCCCCCAATTTTAGTCTTGTCACGGTGCTGGCAGCGGTAATGACCCCTGCGTTAAGGGTCATTGGCTCAACCATGTGTGGTCGTCTAGAGACACCATAATGACCGCACCAGTGACTAAGATAAAATATTATATAATAAAAAAGAGCACAACCAAACAGTAATGTTAATACATTTATTAGGACTATACATGTAGATCTGAATAACCCAAATTAAAATTGCAATATGTATCAATGAGCTGAACTCCTAATAAGCCTATATGGACATGAAGAACCAGTTATAATAAAAATACCCCTGACAGGAATAGTGTATTACGTGAAGTAATAATTGGAACGCCAGACTGAAGGTAAGATTACAAGGAACTTACCAGCATATTCCTGTGTCCAGCGTTCCAAGAGGTCCTAGTTGGAGTGAGTCCACCGTGGGAACTGCCCCCAACTAGAATGGTTTGAGAATTTATAGGGAGTTGCCGGACGTCAGAGGGGGACAACCTCTGACTTGGCCAAGAAAGATTGAAAATGATACTTGAAACTTAGAGACTGTGTTTCTCAAGCATCAAGTTTTATGATAAAGCCAAAAAAATATTCATTAATCTTATGAATCAAATCTGGACATGTGATAGCAGACGTTAGTGGCTACCATCACATATTATTTTAATTGTTCTACATTCACTAATAATGAAGATATAGTCTCAATAAAGACTTGAAAATAGTCTTCTATTGGCATTAATAGAGGAAAATACTGTATTTCTCCCAAAATAAACACGTTTATATAAATTAGATCATATAGACGGAAAACTGAATATTATGGGCTAGTTGCATGATACAAGATTTAGGTTAGGTTCAAAAGTTGACTTTAATACTTGACATGATATGTCCGTGACAAGCACACATGGACTACATAAATTGTATTGAAGTCAACTTGATGCAGGGTTTCGTCACACCACTACAAGCAATATATTAGGATTCAGATATTAGGAAAATATCATTATTTATTACCCACGAGGTCAACGTATTGGTAGTTGCATACTAATCTCGTACGTCACACGAGTGTCGTATTGCGTTGACCTGTGTCGTAACGACTTGACCTGAGATTCTAACGATTTGATTGGATAACCGATGACCTCTCAATTAGGTCACATTCTGACGTAACTATTTTTTCATTCATAAAAAATACGTGGATCCATTCATTCTACAACTAAATGCATTGTGGGAATGTAAACATCGCGAACGTTGCCGTGTCGCTGTTTAATTGTGAGTCGAACTGAGACATTATACCCGTCGAAAAACGTAAACGCAATGTTTCCACCAGTGATGTTAGCCAGAATGAAGCAACTGCAAACCAAGAAACGGGTGCTACGGAGAGTAGTTTACTGTAGGAGGCTGTACGCAGGCGATGACAACTGACATGCATCGTGGCGTCGCCGGTTACCAAGGCAGTGGCGTCATTGCAGTGGCGTCATGCAAATATTGTACTACAGTACAAAACTCTTCCGCAACCTCTTTATGAAACCGGTTTGGGTTTGAAACCAAAATATTAACAAAAATACGCTATTTTGTCAATTTAATGCATGTAAGGCGTGGGTAATAAATAAAATACCACACTTTCGGTCTCATTACATCACGAATTATCACGATGAATTATGACCTTCCTATGTTATCTGACCGGGCGGCGAGCGTAGGTCAGATAACATAGGAAGGTCATGAGTTTCAGATATATTATGTATGTAATGAGACCGAGTGTAGTATTCTCTATAGAATATTAGTTTCAGCATGATCAGTAATAGCTTAGAGAAAGACTCCAGTCAAAAGTAGTAAAACTCATCTCACAGACATACCATTGAAATAGGTATATGTTACGACTATACAATTTCACAGATGTTCAAGATAAATCCTAGCCTAAGGTATCAAGGACTCAAACCTTTCATTAAGACAAAGTTGTGTCTATTTTGTATGAATTATTATTCCATGATATGTGCAGAACATTGTTAATGTGGTCTCCTGACCCTCATGATCCCCTGATTTGTCACCAATGAACATGTCTGTGATGAACTGGAGCGATGCTATGTTATCCAAATTCTACAGTTACCCTGCAGGATCTCTGCCAAATCCTTCCTCAGATATTGAATAATCTTGCCCGTTTCTTTCATTGACATTAAGTGGCCTCATTGAGGCCTTTGAGTATATCTAACAAATAGCTATTTTATGGCTTTGTAGAACTATGGTATTTCACTGATATCAGGATGAATTAATAGGAAAATGTTGTTATACTTATATTGCATTGAATGCAGTCTCAAAATACAACATTAGAATTGATCTACTTATAATCCTTTGAAAAGAGGGACTTTTAAGAATAAAAAATATTTAAACAAATAACAATTTTTCCCTACCTTGCCAGCAAGAGTTTATAATCCTTGATAAATTCCCTGATGCTGTTATGACATTACCTTATTCTCCAGACAATGTGCTGTGATGTAACAAGTGAGTTGACAGTTCAAAGTTAAAGCTCATTGTTGGCACCAGTACTGGTACATTTTTGTACATGTATGCAATACTATGCATGCACACACTCAAACACTCTATTCATTTCCATGCTGTTTACTGACACAAATGAATATTCTTGGCAGTGCAACTCTGCATTTTGATGATAACATTTGTTAGTATCACCATTTGAAACTCGGCCTTTACTGATGTCAACTAAGGCTTTAGTCCTTTCCTAGAAATATTGTCGGCTCTAATGGGAGTCATGTAATTGTGATTTGAAACCTCTTGTTGACCAATCAAATCAAACATGTCCAGACACATTGTAGAATGTCTTGAAGATCCATCCACCTCTACAATATATGCTCACAGTTCCATGTTCATGTAATACTCGTTAGAATAGTAATGTACAATTATTGGTATTAATTAATTTTAATGAATCAAGCAGGAAGTATTATGAAACATCTCATTACTCATTAGATTTCCTTGTAACTGGTGACGTATGAAGAGATGTAGTGTTGGGTGCATTATGAAGTTACATCATATGAATAGTCACATAGACAATAGATGTTGCTAATGAAATGATACTTTGACTCCTTTCATTTAGCCCTGCATCAGCTTAGACCTGAGAAAGTTGTTGCAAGTTCAAAACAGGATGAGCGCTTGGTGAAGTTTCTCAAGCAAGCACGTCAGTATTAACAGCTTACTTAAAGGGTCTGTGATTTGTATTTTAGTGTGCATCCATTCTTGACATTCCATAAACAGTCGCAGTTAATTGACTTCCTTGTTTTGTTTATGGCTTTGCTGAAAAATGTTTATGCAACAACTCTGTTGCATCAAGGTTCCTTTGAACCATCTTTTTGTAATTTTTATACTTCATTGTGCTAATTATGTTTAGTTCTAAAGTGTTAACAACAGTGTTAGTGTAACCAAAAAACAGAAATATTTGGATATCCAGGCATGTTGCTATTTCTATGTCCAAGAAAGACATTCCTGATTTGGATAACATGAAACCCCTTCAATCTGAGGGATACCATTGCCAGTAAATCGTCTCTGTTGACAAAATTCTGTGCAACAGATCACGGAGTAATTATCCTTTATGTAAACATTCCCGGCAAGATTGTCTGAAAGGCAACAGAGTCCTGATTAAAGAGCTTTCACTTTAATATTTAGCACATGCAGCTTTTTTGTTTTGTAAAATCCACAGAATAAATTTAGCATCATCCTTTCTTTAGGGACCGTTCATAATTTATGCCTAGTCGGGTGATGATTATTTTTATTGAGAAGCATGTACAATGGGCCCTAATGCATATAATTTTTAAGCATTATTTTTTAATAGTCCTGTGTACAAAATTACTGACCTCCTCGAGTACATGTGTACAAAATCGATGACCTCCCTACCTCCCAAGAACAAAATGGGTGAACCTTCCCCCCTTAAATCATCATCACCCCCCTAGCCATATATTTGGAATGGTACCTTATAGGGGTGAAATGGTACGCGCGCTTACACAGGTACGGTACGTATTGCGGTACAGGACCTTCGGTTCGGTCCTTTTCGGTTCGGTATATGAGAACTTACTTCCGGGAAAATAGCGTCCGTCTGGCAAAGAAATGCATAGATTTTGACAAAATGATTCGATTTGTAGACATTTTAGAAAAGGTTTCAAAAGGTTAATAAATGACGGTACGAAAACCGATAATACCGAATTTTTGATTGCATTACGGTATACCGAACCGAAGGCAAAATACCGTGGTTCTACTAATACTGCAGTATACCGTTTCACCCCTTACACATAAATTGTTTGTATTTGACTTCTTTGTTCAGCCTTTGCAATTTTTTGTCCAGTCACCATGAGAGATTCATGGCATGAAAAAATGACCATGAAAACAATCTTGTGATAATCACATGATGAGGGAGGGAATCCAGTCATCATTGTGCACTTTTACAGAGGGGAAAATAGCATTCGAAATATTATTGTCAATATTTTCTTTCTCTGATAGTGACATAAAGAAAATTGTGAGTTTATCTGAATGATGTATTTACCAAGAACATTATTGACAACTCTGCACAAGGCCAAAGTAATTGTGATCTGATCATATACATTTTGTGTAAATAAATGAAAATCAGTGACTATGATATGTTATGTTAAGTGACATTTTAAAAGTTTTATCAATGAAGACAGAGTAAAAGAATTGTTTTATGTTCTTCAGTCTTTCATTGCAATGTTTGGGTACTTTTTTCTAATACCTTCAAAATGATTGAGATAATATAAAAGATGAGATCCAACTGTCAACTTCTAAGGTGGTATAGGCTACCACTGTACAGGTGTATTGATTGATGAGGTTTCTAAATATGTGTGGGCAGAATGACCCTTGGACAGCTTTATTGTGTTGATGGGGTGGTGGGGTAGCTTAATGGTTAAAGTGTTCAGTCGTAACACTGAAAACCCAGATTCAATTTTCTGCATTCAGTCCATTTCTGGTGTCCCTCTCTAAGATGTTGCTGGAATATTGCTAAAAGTGGTATAACACCATGCTATCTCTGTCACTAATAATGTTGATATCTTTTTAATACAAATTAGGGTAACATTAGAAGTCCACTCCGATGTTCTGTCCCTTTTAACTGCTGCAAGTTTTTAATGAAGAAAACAAAAATTTAACTGTTAATCCTTTAACAGGAATAGATATCTTTAGAAAGCCTATTCATGTCAGTACAGTTAAACTCCAGGTCATTATTTGTGTTGTATGAATAGGAAAGAAATTTAAAATGTTTTATTTGGTTCTAAATAAATCACAGTATGATTGATAATAGCATGAGCACAGTTTCTTTTGCCTTTGAGAATGTAACAGGTTTCACATTTCTGTATAATATTTATCTCTACCCTAGTGTCATCCCCGCAAGTTGGGAGGAGTGGAGAGGAGGAGGAGGATACAGAAGTGTTGCAGTTTCTACCCAGTGTCGACTTTTGTATGTTAACATTCTGATGCAATACACATTGTCAGTACTGTAGGGAATGATACAATTTACAGACTCTGCTCTCAACCTATGTATGTTTGAAAAAGTCAGAATATTTTTCTATAATGTGTTTTTTGCCAGGAAAAAATGTTGTGGAATCTTTTGTAAATAAATCTGGTGTATGTGAGTGACAGTGTGTAAATTGAAAATACACTGCACCAAATTACACACCACAAAATTACAAGGCTACAATTATGTCATATAATTTACCAATATCTGTATTTAAGTTTATAGAAAATTGCCACAGCTGCTCACTTCAAAATATTTTGTAATTATTGTACATGGAAACCACATATTATTAACAGTTCACATAAAACTGTGAAAGTCACACTCCAGAACAACTGGGCTAACTAGAACTGTGTTATGTTTGTGAAAATAATAACACATGAGAATATAATATTATATTTACATTTCAAGAATATTATCAAGGGCATACGACAAAATATCACAATTGCACTGCACTGTCCTGTGAAATGTAGTGTTCATAGTTCATATGTATGGAGGCACATGTACTTTCAGTAATTTGTTTCTGCTCAGACAGGAGATTTATCTTGTTTAGTCAGCTATAGTTGATGGGCATTTAATGTGTCGCAGCCTGAACTACTGGTAAAACTGCAGGAGTTACTTCCCTTTCCATACTGCCTGTATTGACCATATACTGTGTGGACCTGTGTATATTGTTGAAGAATAAGTTATCCATGGTCAAAATACAATATTATATCAAAAGCATTTCATGGAGCTTTAATTCAGAATGAATTCAGAATGAGTTTCCTCTACCCATGTACACATAAACCCTCAGTAATTACTTCCCTGTATTTCTTATGCTCTATGACGTTCACACTGCTGAATGTGTTAAAATACATTTCGTAGTAATTATTCCAGTAGTAAAGGCAATATTGATTGATAAAAGAGAGTTGAAGTGAAAGCCCAGTCACATATTATGGTTGCAAGTTTAAGACATTTCAGCAATATCTTTTCTTTCAGTTATTTTATTCATTCCCCAATCTTAAGAGGAAAGTGGACTTGTGTGATATGTGTGATTTGTATGATTTGTACTTTAGCTCTTGCGATCTGCAAACGAAGAATCCTGTCCCTCAATCTCCCCACAATACCTGACCACTACACTGACATGGAGCGCACTCTCTACATGTCATCACTTGTGCCCTTTGAGAATGTCTGCATGGTGAGTGTCCAGTATCTGAATTTCCACTCTTGTACTCTGAATGAAGACCATTTTGATGCCGCTTGATAGAGTAACAGAGGCATAAAACTATACCAAGTCACTCAATTACCTTCCCAGCGGGCACACAACGTTGAATCAACGTTGAATCAACGTTGAATCAACGTTGAATTTTGGTTGTTTGGTTGATCAACCTTTCATAAACGTTGATTCAACGTTTATCATGCGACCAAAGAAAGTTAGTCGAGATTCGTTTAGTTGCCAACGTTGTTTCAACGTAAGGAACCAACAAAATGTCAACTAATTGTTTCCTTGGCAAATTTGATACATAATTCATATTGGTAATAGGTATCCAACTTAGCAACTATCATTTCGAACATTAATTTCATAAAAGATCAAGATCGAAAGCTAGTGACACATATAATCTTATATATTGTTTGATTGTGTATCGATCAACGGACGGAAATATTACGTAAATCGCGAATTGAAAATGAAAACATCAATGATTTTAGGTATAAAGTTATCAGTTATCCGAATTGCATTACATTTGATATTTTCCCACAAAACTGTCAAAATTGTATAATTCCCGACAATTTGCTTTCAAACACATGCCAGATCGCCTCGCTTGGCCATATCCGGACATGCGCACAATTATCGCGCAAGAAAGGCAGCTGATCGTTGTCAGTTTACTTTGGCGAAGTTCAACGCATAATATCGTTCTATTTTCAACATCTTCACGGCATGCTGGTGTTTATTTGGTAAGTATGTCCTTCATGTATAATGAAAACGTAGGAATGTTGTTTAAATCTAGCAGTTCAATGTAGCAAGAAACTCGAATTAGGGCTCATGTTTTATCTCACAAGGGTACCCGGTATGTAACGCACATGTTTCTCAAAAATTTAGTGGAAGCCCGTGTTTTCCATGAACTTGTTTTGTTATTTTTCAATATATTTGCATGCATATATTTGGCATTTTATTATATAATCGAATAAGATTTCCTTTCACCCATCACCTGATTTGAATTTTGCAAATATACATTTTCAAATAATCAATGAAGTACATCAATATAAGGGACCATTCTTAATTATATGTCTGCGGGTGGGGGTGATGATTGTAAGGGGTGGGTGGGTGGGTGGGTGGGGTGTCACCCATTTTGTTCAGGGGAGCTAAGGGGTCAGCATTTTCATTACACACGCACTATGTTTAATATGATGCTTAGAAATTATGGGAAGGGGAGAGGGTCATAGATATTGTACATGACATGCATGGTGGGGCTGGCCACTTATTTCGTACATACAGTTTACGGGGAGGGAGGGTAATTCACATTGTACATGCTTCTTCATAAAAATCATCATCACCCCAAGCCATACATTATGAACGGTCCCTAAGGGCAGCTATACAAAATCGAATAGAATTTATCAACGTTTTATATTGCATCACATTATTGTGAACATTTGTTCGCTTTGAATAAGTCTATCAGTAAATTATGCATTGAGCACGCTCTGAACCATGTCAACATATGCATATTATTTGGGGGAGGGTGGGGTGGAGAATGGCGAAAGGAAATCTTTCTCAGATCATGCAACGAAAATTCACATCAAAATGTCTTGTGCAAGTCTTTGTTAAGGATGAAATTGCATATAATTTATTTGAACTTTTATTTATTTACAAAATGTGTAACTTCACTAATGATTCTTTGATGGGACAATTAACAAAACTGCACTCACAGACTTTCATTCTTACACTTGTTTGGAAGGGATGTGATGATTCATGTCTCTTAAAGGTTAAAATTTTCCATACAAAAGAAGTAATTTAGTAAGGAACATTTAATTATGAAATAACATATAATTTTAATGGAATTTGCAGAAATCTCATCTTCGAAGACTGGGTGGCATCAATTTTGTGGATCACATAAAAGGAGCAATGCTAAGGTAACAAGTTTTTAACATTTCACTTGTTTCCAGTATATCCACCACAAAGGCTGATCATGTAAGAGAATAATTTGACAATGATTTCTCCCCGAGATGTTTAGTTTAATGAGCACTCCTTGCATGGCTTTTATATTGTTTTTCACGTAAAAAGAGCTGGATGCAAGATAGCACGCGAGAGGACAGAAGTCATAAATTTATAGAGATATATAGATGTTTATTGCTGGGAGACACACTCTTCAGGTATTTGGTCAGCTGTAGAATTTGAATATGATGTTTCTTTATTATTGTCAAAGTGTAGGTTTTTCATTATTTTGCATTTAAATGTGTGTGCAGTGAAACATACTGAGATTTGGAAGAGTCCATTATTTAGAGTACAGGTATTGTTAGATATCAGCATTTTATGTACATGTTCCCTTGTCAAGATCATCTATCGAGTATATTAGAGAGAAGGTGTATATTTGTAGTGTTTTAAATCAGAGTTATTTTCAGTGTATGACCTACATTTGAATATGTTTTGGCCACCTGTCACCCCTTTGGTCAAATAGAGTAGGACTTCCATTTATTGGAATTGAGAGTCAGAGATACACTGTTTCCAAGAATTTGCGTGTGCCAGCGATGTTTGTTTACGAGTACATTTAAGTCTTTTTGAGTGTAGATTGGAGTTGTAAGAGATGTTATTCAGTGTCTTATTATTCAGGGTATGATAGATTATTTCTGGAAGTGTAGAGTTTAATCTCATTATTTTATTGTTCATGATTCAGAGAAGCATAGTTATGACGTCGCAGATATTATAGGCACACATAATTCATTATATGAGAGATTTTCTAAGCGTTCCTATAAGAGATTAAGTGTAAACATTTCTGAATTATGAAGAAGTTATTTATCTGAGTTTTATGAGTGTACAAATGACAAAGAGAGACAGAGTAGATAATAGGGAATATATTGTATACTTATGAGAGCTCATTATTGTTTTCAGAACTCCATGATCCATACTTCCTTGTGTTTGGGAATAAATGGTGTTGGAAGACCTCCCACAATAGACTTGTTCTTTGACCTGTGAACCACCACCCATTTTGTTTTCTTATCATTAAATGTAAAATGGCTTTTCTTACAATTTATGACACCTGTTAGCAAAATTGCTACATCAGTACAACTCCTATTTAATTTGAAACAATCGTTTCCGAGAATCTCTAAAGAAAACTCAATCTGACAGAATAACAACAATCTTCCATTGTTTTGCAGGACAATGTCAAACAATTTGATGTCAAGAATGAATGTTGATGGGCAAAACGGCAAGTTTTCTTTTAAGAATACAAGGTTGTATTCAATCATCTCTGGTAATTTAATTACCAACTGCAGCATTTTCATCATGACCATAGCAAATAATATATGACAGTAAAGCATCGTCTAATTCATCCTAATTCATAGTCTAATTGAATAATCAACTTGCAATTGAGGATTTTCTTTGAAAATGTTTAAGAAAACTTCCATTCCTTTAGTTAAAAATATAAATTGTTTACATTTTTCGTCACATTTTGTATTGATGCTGTTCATGTGTTCACATGGCAAGTTACAGCAGTGAAATGAACCTTTCAAGTGATTGATTAAACAAATACTTGAATCATTTAAGACAATATATCTTCCATATTAAAATAACTCATGTATTTAAATATAAAATTTCAGAATGTGTCTTATCTCATGGGAATGAGATGGGAATGCATCCGAAGCAAATTTCAAGAAAGAGTTAGGAACGTTTCTGAAGTATCCACCTGACCGCCAGGCAGGGAGTGGCAGAAAGAAGAGAAGCTGTATGTCAGTTTAATGCTATATGCAGATGATATTGTGTTATTATCACAACAGAGATCACCTACAGACTATGTCATGTGTGATGTTTTACATTATGCTTTAAACCACGTTTCTCTGTGTGCGTTTGTGTTCATAAAGATTTCATAAAAAGTTACTGGTTTTATGTGCTGTCTTCAGGTATAGTTCCTGTTCATCTTGGATCCCTTTCATGGTGAAAGTAATTGCATTGTGTTTATTCAGGGTCTGCCTAATAGCTGAAATTCAGACAAAATGTCTTCTCGGGACAATTTCCACCTTTTCAAGATAACAATACAACAGTAAATAGTTTTTAATTTGGAATACTCTTTTCTTTTACTGGAATTATACGTCCAACTGACATAAAACTTAAATGAACATTATATTGAATGTGGAATTTTAACCAAGTATTTTATCAGGTAAATATTTTTACTGCAATTTTATGTTTGAACAATGTTTATTGCAGGTAGCTTTTTGGGTATTTTAGCTGGATGCATGAGTTTGGTGCTACTTTAGTGTAGTTTAAAGATGAAGTGCGAGTCTATTTACAGGAAAGCGTAATACCTCCCAGACACAACCACGGAACAACCCATTTTCAACGTTAATAATATGTCAAACTTCAACGTTGATTCCACGTCGGATGTCTACGTCTAAAAAACTTTCATATACAACCACGGAACAACCCATTTTCAACGTTAATAATATGTCAAACTTCAACTTTGATTCCACGTCGGATATCTACGTCTAAAAAACTTTCATATACAACCTTTTTCAACGCTGATAATAGGTCAAACTTCAACGCTTGATTCCATCGTCCGGATATCTACGCCTAAAAACTTTCATATACAACCTTTTTTCAACGTTGATAATAGGTCAAACTTCAACGTTGATTCCACGTCGGATATCTACGTCTAAAAAACTTTCATATACAACCTTTTTTCAACGTTGATAATAGGTCAAACTTCAACGTTGATTCCACGTCGGACATCTACGTCTAAAAAACTTTCATATACAACCTATTTTCAATCTAATTTCAACGTTGAGGACCAACCTATTCTCAACGTTGAAACAACGTTGATGTGCCTGCTGGGTTGATGGATCTGCACTCATGCTGTCAACCACTGGTTTGACCTGATTACTTATAATTGCCATGATATGGTTTTTGTGTTACTGTTAGTGGTATTATCAGCATACCTGTTTACTCATGTTGTGTTGAAAAGGATGTTATAGACATTTGTGACAGAAAGTCTGACATTTATTAAGGAGTCAGATGCTATGAAACAATAAGGCAGTTATCAGATTATTTTCACTGTCAGTTACCTCCAGCAATTCACCCCACTTCCGTAATGTGATGTGTTAGAGTATACTCATTCTCCTTCATTGGACTGCTTGGGAATTACTGATTTAATTATCTGTGCCAACCATTTAGCTAGCTTCCCCCTTCAGTCCATCAGTCAGAGATTGTACCCCCTTACCCTTTCTTATGTTCATTACCTGTCAGTGCTCAGTATCTTTAATCCTACCAAATATCCATGCTTGATGAACCATATCCACCAATAGCTGCTGTAACAACATGCATTGGTCAGTTGTTTAAAACAAATATAGCAGCATAGATGATGGGGGTACAGCGTCAATCCTAGTCTGTCACCCTCACTATGATGTTTACACTTGATGTTCACGCATCCTGACTAATAAATTCTTTGTGATGGTTATTGTCATCATAAATAATTATGTTTTGCGTAGTTTGACAGGTGTTGTTGCAGGTGAGGGCGGCAGGGGGTCTGCTCAAGTTCCTGGAGAAGGCTCGTGTGGGCGTGGAACTGGAAGACTCTGACATCAGGGTGCCCGGTGCTGGGCATACAGATTTTCACACTGTGAGACAACACCTTCATCTGCATGTGGTGGAACTGAGTCTTACCCTACTATATCATTTAGATCTATTTAAAGCAGAACTCAGCAGATTTCATATCATCCACCGCAACGTGTTTTGCGGGGGTATTAAAATGGACTCCATCTGTCCGTGCACATTTGTCTTTTCCAGAGCAGAACTTTAAAACCGTTCACTATTTCTTAACCAAACTTGGCACTTTTATTGGTCTGGTGGTGTACTGGTGTCTTTTGGTAGTTTTGAAATTCTGAATAAAATATATTTTGCATTTCCATGGCAACAAGTCTGACTTTGACTGAAATTGGTGGTAATTAAGTGCTCTTTTCCGGAGCAGAACTTTAAAACCGTTCACTATTTCTTCACCAAACTTGGCACATAGATTGGTCTGGTGGTGTACTGGTGTCTTTGGTAGTTACGGTAATTTTGAATGAAATATTTTTGTGTATTTTCATGGCAACTAGTTTGACTTTGACTGAAATTGGTTGTTGTGCTCTTTTCCGGAGCAGAACTTTTAAACCGTACAATATTTCTTCACCAAACTTGGCACATAGATAGTTCTAGTGGTGTACTGGTGCCTTTTGGTAGTTCTGGAGCAGAACTTTAAAACCTTTCAATACGCTCCTTCCGCTTAGATATATACATGCCAAAACATATTCATGAAGAGTATTTTGTCTTCTTGTTTACACTGTCTTGTAATTTTAAAAATATTTCAAGATTCTGGTATCGGGTGGTCAGGCTCAATGACTTGTTGTGTGACAGATGTCATTGTACCCCCATTGCATATGTCGATGTTCATGCTGTTGATCACTGGATTGTTTGGTCCAAACTTGATTATTTGCAGACTGTCGCCTTCTAGCTGGAATATTGCTTAGTGCAGGATTAAACAACAAACAAACAAAACATACATGCACAGACACACTGGTAGGGAACTTGGTCACAGTGAGTGTGGAGTCTTTGTGATTTATGCGACAGAAACTTTATGATTTGTGACAGAGTATTTGTGATTTTAGCAACCTCAAGGTGAAGGTAAGGTACAATAAGTGTCCTGGGCCCAGATTTTCGAAGCTATCTTAGCTCTAAAAGTTAATTTTAATGTATGGCACTTACGACTATCTTTGCGCTAAGAGAGATTCGTAAATCTAGGTCTGTAGACATCCAAAATCAACGTTATACCTCAATGCTATGTTCCTTCAGGAATGAATATAGCTATATTACTCTGAAAACCCTTGATAATCATATAAAGTCATAAATTGTTAAGATTTTCATATTTTTGTTATAATGAATTGATATACAGTCAAATCCCGATGAGTCGAATCACTGGGGACCAAGTAATACATTCGACTTATCGATGTATTCGAGACATAGGTATGTCTATGAGGGTAGAAAAAAAGATGATCCAGTCCTAATTCCTCCACCTAAGCATTTGTTTATCTAATGATTTTCCCATCACTAATAGGGGCACCTTATCAGTTCCAGTCTGATTAGCACAGACAGTGATTCCGTAAAATCACTAATCTGCCTTTTGAACTCACCCGTCAATGGCGGAAAGGTGTGAGCCGCGCCTGTTTGTTAATTGGATCAGTTTGCTACACCAATCAACTTCTCATTGACTGACTTCGGCTAATGTATACAAGATTGCTGTTATTTGAATCTCATGGGACCAAATTTCTTTCTCGAGTCATCGTGTGTATTTATGAGACGAATTCGTGTAACCGGTATTCAAATGATGACAACTATAACAGGGAATGGTCGGGACCGACAGGTACTTCGAGTTATGCATAATATTCGAGACACCGGCATTCGACTCATCGGGATTTGACTGTATTTGGAAAAAGAGATTGAATAAATTATTGTAGCATGCAAAGTCAGCATTCTGATTGGGTTTATCGTCCACTATAAAGAAGCTTGTGCTGTTTAATCAGCGAAAAGAAGACAAATATTGAAAACACTGAACTGCTCTATTGTGACAGAAAATTTGTGATTATGAAATTGATGTAACGGAAAATTCATTCATGGTCACAGATATTTCACAATCACTAAAATGGAATTGAGGGGACACAATGTCTTAAATCTTGTTCATGAATTGGAATTGGACGTTCCTATTTATGTATCTGTCGTGTCTACAGATCATCTCAATGTTTGAACCTATAATTCAAGGTGATTTAAACTCAATATAAAATTTTCATATTTGGTCTCTAAACTGTTCCATGTCAGGATAATGTTGACTAGAACATCATAAGTGGTCAAGAATAATGTCCCATGCTTTTATTTCCACCATGAAGCATATGAATTTTACGTGAATTACTTATATAGACTTTTGCAGAATCGATTCACTTTGGTTGAAAATCTCCTGGCATAAATTTGCTGTAAGGCGGACCTGTAATACCTTCCTTTTTGGCATAGTTTTCTCCATGCTTAGATTTACTTCAATATTCCGGAAATATATAGTTCAATAAAAACCAATCCAATTAATCCACTTATGAGATTAAAATAGCCATGAATTGCCACTTGAACAGGAATGTAAAACGCAGTCTATCCCTCAAGCTTGTAGTGTTTATTCACATAGTGTGTTACATGAAACAACGCTTTACATTATGAAGTCTATTTATGATTGACAGATAGTCATCATTATGTACAACAATGTGTAGATCACATCATCATCATCGAAGACATTGACTAAATTGTCTTCTTCTGAAAATAATTGTTTTTGTACAGACTATGCGAGTTAGGCATTGTGAATGGGGCTTTGTACTATCCATTTGTATGGGTTCCACTTCGAGAAGTAATGATATTGTGACGTGCAAATACTTGCAGGAACTTGTTAAAAATGTTATATAGACTGGAGAACTGTACATGATGCACACAACATTTCCTTTGAGATAATAAAGAAATCATCTTATCTTATGACTTGTTCATTTTGGGCGACTTGAAATTACACGATGCACACCATTTATTGGCCAAGGAAATGTTTATATCCAACAGAACACCATATTGACTTATCCTGAATGAACACAAAATGATAATAATTTTCCGTTACCATCATATTTCAATCTCAAATTAACTGTTACCAGTGTTAAAGACTCTGTGACATTTCTAAAATATTATTTTAGTGAAATTGATGTTGAAATATTGATATATATGACACAATTTCATGAGGAAAACTTGACATAATTCGCTCTGGATATTTAGTTCTCTGAGGGTTGTTAATCTTGATGTTTTACTCTTATTTATCATCAAAATGACTTTCATTTCTAATTATGATAAAAATGATATATATGCTATTGCTAGATTTATTTAAGTAAATTATAAAGTTGCAAGATGATATTATGTGTTGATTTGGAAACTTATAGTCTTTAATACCACAAAATAAAGCTATAATTACCATTTTATCTTATTATAACACATATCATTGCAAAGACTCTGTGACAAATCACAAAGAATCTGTCACAAGTGATAAAGTTTCTGTCGCAAAAATCACAGACTCCACTCTCACTGTAACCAAGTTCCCTACCAGTGAGACAGATACTCATGCAAGATCAGGAAGTGACAGTTCATTTTCTCATTTTTACATCGTCTTGTAGCCATGTTTCGAGTTGTATGCAGGATAAGACTAAATATATAATTTTTTTTATAGATTTTACTAAGGCCAAATAAAAATACTGTGGTTCCGATTACACCTCTTTGAAATTTAGGGTAAGTAGGTAGGAATTCTTTTTTTTCACATTTTTAAAGTAAAGTATGAACTAATAACACATTTATCAATGTTTAATTGTTTATTCAAACAAGCTTGCGGCCATCATGTCGACTTTCTCTATTAGAATGACTGATGTGGTGCTGGGAAAAAACAATGGTATCTGAAAGCTTATTTTATTCATACCACTTAAAAAAACTAAGGTCGGCACCAGAATTCAAGGGTCAGTGGGTAATCGGAAGCACAACATTTTTTTTTAGGCCTTATTTTCCATTTTGTGTGAATAATTTTTCATTATAACCAAAATAGACTTAAAAAGATTGACAATTGTTTTGAAATGAATGAGTTAAATGTTTTTCGATCTTTATTGCAGAGAAGATCAGATGATAATAGATGACATTACTTACAGGTCAGTAGCGCTTTGAGCACCCACTTAGTGGTTGGATTTAGTGCTATATAAATGTTCGTTAGTATTATTATTATTATAACAACTTACAATGAGGCTATTGTTATAGGACTATGCCTCTTCTATCCTGAAAGCGAGTACTGGTTAATATAAATGACCCCAGTCAGTGGATCAGTGTGCACTTATATTTTTGTTCTCACATCACCATTGGTTTTCAAGTTCAAGTATGAGTGGCAACATGCTAATTTATAAAGGCACACTCTTTCCTGAAATGGTGGCAAGTGGGCCAGTCATCAAAGGCACTGCAATTCACTGTGCAGAGTTCTGTCCCTTGGGAATGCCTGTGATTGTGAGTTTGTATCCTTGTATACCCTGTTGTTTCTGGGTTGGTCAGCACCAAGGGTGCTCGAAGGTTATTACCAAAGTAGTGCAAGTCTGTGACATATATTAGTTTAGGCATTCCTCCCACAAAAGCTGATGTGCCATGATAAAAGCGGCACACCGTTATAAACAGCATCAAACCCCCTCACTCATTCACAGACATTGTAGAGATGACTCAAATTGTGGAGATTTCATTTAATCAGATGTATGCTTTGTATGATGCAGTCATGTGTCAGTCATTTAATTGTCTTATGACCCTTGAAGATCTGGGTTATAATGGGTCTTCAGAAACATATTCTTATTGTAAGAGGCAACTAACAGGATCAGGTGGTCAGGCTTATTGACTTGGTTGGTATATGTCATCATATCCCTATTGCATAGATTGATGTTGATCACATGATTTTCTGGTCCAGGCACAATTATTTGCAGACTGCCACCATACAGCTGGAATATTGCTGAGTGTGGTGTTAAACAACAAACAAAAATTTTCTTTGATATAACGATCCACCATAAAAGCTGCTTCCAAATTCATTTCTACTAGCATTCACATCTGGTAGACTGCAGCTTATGCTACCACTGTCCTGTGTGTGGCGTTTCAAGAATCCATGATGTCTTTGATTTATCACACAGTTGGAATGTGGCTCAGACTAGCATTAACAAACACCCACCCACTCATGTCTTACATAACTATTGAGTTATCTTAATTGCAACAGATTTTCTGTGTGGTGGGCAGCGGGACAATGCAAACAGTGTTAAGAATGATTTAGATAAAGCCTTCGTTTGTTGTTATGTTTTTCTCATTGTGGTTGTCTAAGTTTTTTATGTCTGTGTGCTGATGTAGTGCTCTGCAGATCTTCTACCGTGAGGCCCACCCCTCTGTCTACAAGTCTGGGTCAGGAGCCAAGGAGGGCCTCAGTCTGTTTGGTGGGTATGAACATGATTCGTGGACAACACTATTTCATCTCTTTATAATACATCCTTGAAAAGCTTTACTGTTACATTTTTTATTTAATCCTCATATAAGAAAATGCTGTATCAGTATTGACAGAAGACTGGATATCTTGCGACATCCGATGTCACTACACATGAGCATATGTTGCTTTTCCTTTCAGTGGCAGTGGGGTAGCCTAAAGGTTAATGCGTCTGCTTGTCATGGTGACGATCCGGGGTTTGATTCCCCACATGGGTACAATGTGTGAAGCTCTGATGTACCCCGCCACGATTTTGCTGAAATATTGCTAAAACCATACTCACTCACTATTCATTTTTCAGGCATCCTAAACAGATGCAGGTCTCAAATAGGCAGCAAAATGTTAAGGTGAGTGAGGCAGACAGGCATGAGTATTTTAAAAAGTCTTGGAACTACTTCACACATAGACCCAAAAAGTACCAGTGGAAATATGTTGACGAAAGTGTAACCCATAGATAAGCCGACCCCCTTCTACAGACTGCTTTTTTTGGTCCTCAAAATTCGGCTTATCTACGGTAATATACGGTAACATATTATATCTTGTATGTGAGTTCATTAGTACTGAGGGTGTGTCCTGTAGGTTGTGGTTCCTGCGACCTCTGCGGAATGTGGACATCCTGAAACAGAGACACGCTGCAATAGAGTTCTTTATGCATGCCAGGAACATAGAGGTCCTCACTACCCTGTCTGACTGTCTTAAGCATATCAAGAATGTACCAGTAGGTATTACGGATCGTGTGCAAGAGCAAATTCCTTTTTGAGATTTAGCCCCACACTCAGAGACATATTCATTTATTGGCAAAAAGTCATTCACAATGTAGACTTGCAGACACCTTCATAACTACAGGTTAAAATTAATCCCCAGCAACATATGCATAAGGCTTAAAAGGTGCCCAAATACATTGGGTCGTCAGGCTTGACTTGGTTAATAGCGATGTCATCACATCCTGACAGTGTTCATCATTGTTCACAATATCAGTCACTAGATTTTCTGTTCAAGCCTTAATTGTGTACAGGCTGCCGTTATATGGGAAGCGTTGCTGAGTGTGGGGCTAAACAACAAACAATATACTGTGATGCAATACCTGTTTTCTTGAATAATAACGTTCGTTTCTTGCATATATAACTCTGTATGTACCATATTGCTAAAATGAGGCTTATTTTACATATACCCACTCAATGATTTTGCATGTATTTGTTAGGTATTTTTCTTAGAATTGAACAACAATACTTAGGAAGGTCATTTTCATGTTTTCAGAGAATCATAACACGGATGCTGCAGGCTCAGGCTTCTGTTGGGGACTGGCAAGCCTTGTATAAGGTAAACTGGATAACTGAACAAGTGTTAGCTGGGTGTGAAAATGTCAGGGATGAAAGTCTCTTAGAGCTCTTTAGATTAAAAGTAATCTTAATATGCTTTTGAAACTGTTGTGATATCAAAACATTTCTTTTTGTGTGAAATAAACTTCTTGTTCATAATGAATTTCTTGACTGGTACTTGTTTTTTTTATCATGGTTTGTATATCAATGTCTGAAAGCTTTGACATGGTGTATGATGATATAATGGGAGATAGTTTCATGATTAAGCTTCATGTTGCAGACTGGGTGGTGGGGTTGCCTGATATATATGATGGTTATAGCATCCGCTTGTCACCCTGAAGGCCCAGGTTTGATTCCCCACATGGGCACAATGTCTGAAGCCCATTACTGGTGTCTCCGTCATGATATTGATGGAATATTGCTAAAAGTGGCGTAAAATCACACTCACTCACTCACTCATGTTGCAGACAACCTACCATGCCATCTACATCAGGGATGTATGCCGGGCACAACCACAACATATTGCTGTGTTCAACGAGGTGAGTCTGGACAGTTTTGAAGGATCTTCTCTCTGAATAATACTTGTTCAATTAACTATTTTCTTATTTTGTTGAAAAACATGTTGGCTATTGCAAGACAAGAGTGGAGAGTGTAATTGACCAGCTTGTTAATGTTGTGATAAGCTGGAATGCATATGTAATTGGTGTAGGTGTTCTTAGTTTGGAAATTCATGTGCTCAGATCTGTGTGTATTGCTGAGAGCAACTTGGTACAGATTGATAAGCTTGTCAGGCATGAAGATGGTATAAGACTTCCTGGAAGTAATTGTACAAAAGTGTATTGATAATATGCTTGACTGACTGACTGAGTTTAGTTTTACGCCGTTTTTAGCAATATTCCAGCAACATCACGGCGGGGGACACCAGAAATGGGCTTCACACATCGTACCCATGTGGGGATTCGAACCCGGATATTCGGCGTGACGAGCCAACGCTTTAACCATTAGGCTACCCCACCGCCCCGACAATATGCTTGAACTTAGCCCTGATTGCAGGTATTGTATATGTCAGTGAAAACCCCCAGAAAAGTATACAATTTCTTTTACAAAACCAAAGGAAAGGAGCAATGGCCAAAACTATTAAGAATCATTATTCAATGCAGCATAAGAAAATCAGTTTAGAAAATAGTGATGATTTGTTGTTTCAGATCAGCACATGTTTCAGTGAAGCTCTCCACAAGATTGCAACACTCATCAGCAGGATTGTGAGTTTATCATCAATCTGTTACTGTCAGAAGGATATTGTGCTTATGTAGTTAAACATTTTGGTATAGTTAATTCAGATAATAACATTACAAATTTTAAAACTCATTAACAGTGAAATCGACAAAAGTTGGTGCTATAAGTCAGTTGATTTGATGAGATGTTTTCTCTGCCATGTCACTGTGAAAGCTCGCTGTCAGAGTTATGTTTGATTGTGGGTTCAAACCTTAGATTTTCCCCTGACTGAGATGGTACCATCCATACCCATGCTTATGGGTTTCACCATGGTAATAGATATCATGGCCTTTATCATGATGGGATTATGCTAGGTACTTAGGTATGACATATAATACATATAATAGTGTTATGCCAAGTTCAGTTTCCTCTAACCATTGTTATATTCTTATGTATTAGGTGGACTTTGAACAATCCACTTTGCAAAATCATTTTGTGGTCAAGACAAATGTAGACCCAGAACTGGATGAAAGTGAGTATTTTACTTTTTGAAAGTTGTCATGAAATTTTCAGTTTGTTTAACAACAAGGAACGTGTTTAGTTCTTTACGTTGTCTTAGTTGTCTAATACTGATGTTGTAGGTACTGGATACCAGTGTATGAAATAAGTCCAAACCCTAGCCAGACATCAGGGCTGGTAACTTCAAAATGTTACCAGTCCAAAATGGATTGACTCCAAGATATGACTCAGATGTATATAACACCTCAATTTTTTACCAGACCATCGGGCTGGCTAGCTGTAAATCTAGACCGTCTGTCTGAAATCTGACCTGTCTCGGGCGGTCGGACAGGCCTTATTTCATACACTGCAGATACATACAGGAGGGTTTAATGTCAGGTTTCTAGAATTTCCTAATGATTTAGATACAAAATTAATAGTGATTTTTGCAGATTATTGTAGCTTCTATGTATATGAATTAAACATTGATTAGAATCTAAATTGAGTAATTGGAAGAAATACAATTGAAGTGTTTGATATGTCTGATATTTCAGTGCTGAATCACAAAGTTCTGATTCCAACAAATAAACCCATTTCTGTAATAAGGATAAGACTTCATCTCCAAGGTACGATGATAGTGTAGTTTATGTATGAATGATGTGTTGTGTTATGTTGCCATCTGTGATCATGTTACTACAGAGAAGAGGACATACAATGGACTGCCAGACTTCATGACTAAAGTAGCTAGAGAGGAACTGGACAGACTAAGTCCAGACATAGTGGAGTGTAACATCATCTACCTGCCACAGGTAACAACATCAGTGTATAGATATATCCTGGGCCCCGTTCCTCAAAGCGATCGTAGCGCTAAGATGATCGTAACTCCCATACTTTAACATAAACTTACGACTATCGGTGCTGCCTCAAGGAATCCCACCAACTCCGATGTTACAAATAATCTATCCTTTTGAGTACACAAATGGCATTTGGTAATCATAACAAATATTTTCTCCAATAGATGGCATGTTATAATATGAAATACTAGTTATGGATGATGATGATGATGGTGGTGGTGGTGGTGGTGGTTTGGCACTAGCATTATTTGGCTCTTGATAATTAATTATGCATGTTTGGTTGGAACTAGGGAAATTCTTTAAATTGTTAAAAAGTCAAGAAAATTACAAGTTTAATGTTATATGTATATAAAAGTGAATGCTGAGGCATACCGTAGTTGCTGTTTCAAAATTGTTGTAGTATAGCATCAAGGGTGTCCGGTTATCCAGTGTGTTATTGTGCCTCCATTTTATCATGGTAAACACCCAGGTTCCATTATTTACCACAACTTTGGTTTGACCAGCTGTCCAATCAGATTATTCTCATGAGCAAGCAAAATTCTGTAATATATTAGAGACAGGAAAAGATGGTGATGAAACTGTGACGAGGATTGGATCCAGGTATTCATTGTGACAGAATGAAGATATGATACAAGATTGATAATGTAGGATGGAGTCCAATATTTAATGAGTTATTCTCAACAACTGCCTTTCATTTCATAGAAATACATTCATTGGTGTAAAGCTTAAACTTTCCAAGGCTGGTATTTAAAGTGCAGAATGTTTTATCTATTACCCGGATGTGTCTATGTGTCTATGAAAGCCTTTTTTCAGATAGGGTATTTGCTGGCAATCCCTCAGACTGAGAAGATGAAAAGACCAGAGGAATATGAGATCGAGGGACTAGAATTCATTGTAAGTAGACCGTAGTAAAGACATGTTTTGATGAGAAAATTAGACAGCTGATTGTTGAGATGAATATGAATGATAGATAACTGAAGTAGATATACTGTTATGCAATATCCCTCATACAAAACAGTGTGTCATCAAGTAAATTTGAGGAATGGTTAATTGGATACAACAAGTGATAGAATTGATCATATTGTGGGTGGCCATCATGTAAACATGAACTTAATAGGAAAATGACGTTTAACCATCTCTCTTTTTCTGTTGCACTGTTAACCCTTCTCTCTCTGTTTCACCACAGTTTCTTTCAAATGAAATACTGCACTACCGAAGTGCAAGTACAAGGGGTAAAGTGATCTAGTTGTTGATTTGAACTGTTAGTTTGAATCAGTTAGTTGGTATTGTTGGTTGTGTTTTCTCATTCCAGTTGAGTTGGTTGGTTGGTTTGTGGTTTGATGCAGCACTCAGCAATATTCCAGCTACAATGTATATGGTGGTGGTCTGTAAATAATTGAGTCTGGACCAGACAATCCAGTGATCAACATCATGAGCATTGATCTATGCAATTGACATGTGTCAACCAAGTCAGCGAGCCTGACCACCTGATCCTGTTAGTTGCCTCTTACGACAAGCGTGGGTTACTGAAGACCAATTCTAACCAAGATCTTCACACATATGATTCCAGTTGAGAATATTCTTTCAAAACTGGTCCTGGTCCATGTTAAGTCATGACGTGCTGTGTTGTCTGTTTTCTTTGCACAACTTCTCTAAAACCATTTAAGCTGAAACCTTTTATACATCCCTACCAAAGATGATGTGTTCAGTTCGGTCAGATGGTCTTGATCAGTCTGAGTTCATCTGGCTTGCTTTTTGTGCTTTTTGAAACTATTTGAAAATGCAAGATTTAACAATACCTGCCTTCCCATCAGTACAGTGATGACTTATGATTGACAACTTCTGTGACGAATTTAAGCTGTTGAACTGGGCCCTGTTCCACAAAGTGATTGTTGCACTAAGGTGATCGGGGCGGTGGGGTAGCCTGATGGTTAAAACGTCCGGTCGTCATACCGAAGACCCGGGTTCGATTCCCCACATGGGTACAATGTGTGAAGCTCATTTCTGGTGTCCCCTGCCGTAATATTGCTGGAATATTGCTAAAACATGCTTAAAACCAAACTCACTCACTCACTCACTAAGGTGATCATATCTCCCATACTTTAACATAGACTTACAATGTTTATTTGTGTGTGACAGATGAATTCCGTTAGTTGAACAGTGTGAAATGTGAAGATACTTCACATACTTGTGCGGCTGAACATCATGAACATTGGTATATGGTCTCTGAAAACATTAAAGTTTGCTTTCCTTTCTCTGTTATCAATTTGTTTTTCACTACTAAACTGGGCATGATGAAAAATTGTCCTACCATTGCCTGAATAAGTCAGAAGACATTTAAAACAAATTGCCTATAAAAGCTTAATACACAACAGAAAGATGACAGATTTGTCAAATTATAACTGATAGAAAACAAAGTAATGTGAGTATGTTGTGATGATAATTTCAGTTTAAGACAGACAAATGAAACATGGAATTATTTATGTTGAAAGGTGGTCAATATTCTATATTTAATGCAAAATTTGTTGAACTGAAAGCTTCAGTATGTTTGACATTTTACAGAGTTGGATCGCTTGCTTGGTGACACAATGTGCGACATAACAGGTATCTAACAGTTGATACTGAATTTTATTAATGATGCAAAATATTTTTAGACACTTTTCATATTTGTATGACTTTTTATGAATAATGAGATTTGAAACAAATCCAATAAAATGACATCCATTACTGTCATGTGAAAATATATTAGATTTCATCAAAGGGGAAAACCTAACATGGTGTAAGTTATACATACAATAGATATTCAAACAATATTCTCAATTATAAATGTTTAATATTGCTGACAATTGTTGGTTTATTTTTCTTCCATGTAGTGAAATCATGTAACAATGTCACATGCTGTATAGACAGTTGTGTTACGTTCATGTAACCCTGTATGTTATGTTCATGTTACCCTGTATATTACAGACCATGAGACCAGCATCCTTCATCGCCTACAGAACAAGATCCTGGAACACACAGATGTACTGTACCTCGTCATGGAGCATGCTGCTGAACTTGACTGGTAACACAATTAGAGTGAGTGAGTTTAGTTTTACGCCGCACTCAGCAATTTTCCAGCTATATGGCGGCGGTCTGTAAATAGTTGAGTATGGACCAGATAATCTAGTGATCAACAGCATGAGCATCGATCTACGCAATTGGGATACGAATAACGTGTGTCACCCAAGTCAGCGAGTCTGACCACCCGATCCCACCTCTGGCGACAAGAGTCTCACAAGATTTCTGTCTCATGGCTTTGGCAACTTGTGCAAGAGAGTTTAACTATGTGAAATGGACCTGAGCTGGTCAAAGACCCAGTCATCGACATCAAGAAGGTTGGTACTGTTATGAAATATTCTAAACTGAAGTCAAACACTGTCCTATTCTCATTCAAACATTCCAGGTATATCCACATTTTCGTTCAGTCTTAAAGACCATGATAAGAACAGAATCATTTGCAAGTTCTTGTTTATGTTGCTTCTTACAGACATCCACTTCAAGAACTCTGCTGCACTCCCTTTGTGCCCAATGATCTTCACAGTGGTGGGGACAGAGGAAAGATTAAGCTCCTCACAGGGCCAAATGCTTGTGGAAAAAGTGTCTACCTGAAACAGGTACATGAGCACTCACAATGGAAGTTTAGCTTACTGACTGCTGGGGTGATACATGTTAAGAAGTCTTGGAGTGCCCCTTTGAAGTATTGCATTTGTCCTTTGTAGATGACCTGTGCATTTACATGTATGTTATTGATAAACATCATACAGTTTTTTTTATTACTCTAAATATACCATTGTTTGAAGAACCTTGTTATCGCAGCAGATTGTGACAGTCAGAATTTCCAGTTAAATTCACTGGCCATCTTGTGTACCCAGTATATAATGGATAAGTGGAATATGAATGCTTCATTGGTGCGAGACAAAAGTCTTTTCTCTTTTTACTTATTGACTGGTGTCTCTAAAATATTTTGTGGGATTTTGTGATTTTGCTCCAGATTGCCCTGATAGTGTACATGGCCCAGATTGGCAGCTTTGTCCCGGCAGAGCATGCTGTTATAGGGATGGTGGACCGGATCTTCACCAGAGTCAAGTCACTGGAGAGTGTGTCCCTTGGACTGTCCACCTTTATGCTGGACATCAACCAGGTATACTTTCTACTGATTAGTTGTCATGTACAGGTTTAATATGTATCAGTTTTAATTTGAAGGATGATGTTGACGTTTATCTGCATAACCCCTTCAGGTGTGGTGAGGTAACCTAGTCGTTAAAGTTAATGACGCTGAAGACATGGGTTTAATTTCCCACATGGGTACATTGAGTGAAGTCCATTTGTCGTGTCCCCCCAAAGCAGCGTAAAACCCAACTCACTCATTGGAACCATTTCATATTAACTTGGGCGTGAGTTTCAGTTTGTAGTAGATGTACAAGTGGAGTGAGTATGGTATAACACTGCTGTTAGTATTATTCCAGCAATATCGTGGCCGGAGACATCAGAAAAGGGCTTCACACATTGTACCCATGTGTGGAATCGGCCAGGTAACAAGCAGATACTTAAAACTATTACCAGTAGACTGCCCCAGAGGCACAAGTGAGTGTGGTGGTGCATGGTCCTTAACCCCACATGGAAGAACATAATGTATGTGGTGTTTCCTGAGGCAAGTGACTTTGGTTAAAATGTGCCTCTGTTCACCCAGCAGTGAATGGGTACCTGGTAGTCAGGGGCGGATACGGCTTTTTGAGAAAGGGTGGGGTGCACAGTTAATTTTCACGAGAGTTTCAATGGTCATTTAATAAAATTTCAGGACAAAAGGGGGACAACTCCGCTCTGGATCCACCTATGGTAGGATAAAACAGTAATGTGACTGCAACAGTTAACCATCTAGTGGCTCAAGCAGCTTATGTTGTATACCCCTATGGGAGCTGCAAATAGACATTGAGTGCATACTGTTCCCTTGACCAGGTCATAATTTGGTGCTTTGAGCATGCTTTAGGTGTCGATTTGGATCATTATGAATATGCACATTAAATATACACATCAAATATGCCAATATCAAACATTTTGTGATCACATCATCATTGACTATTTATTTCTTTGTCTCATTTACACATAGTTTGCTTTTCTTTCAGATGGCCGAGTCATTGAGAAATGCAAGTGAGAGGTCGCTGGTGATTGTTGATGAATTTGGAAAGGGCACAGAGACAGTAAGTTTTATTCTTAGAAATTAGTCATAATTGATTAATATTGATTTGATATCTTAAAACTATCCATTGTCACACATTGTTAGAAATAAATGACTCTCCCAAGTCTTTTAACATTACGTTCAAAACAAGGACCATTTACATCCATCCTTGATTGTTGTATCTCTAGGAGCAGCATACCGTGTTACTTTGACCAAGAAGTATACCCCTGCCAGGTCTGTTTTCATACATGAAGATCCGGGTTAGAATTGGGATCAGTGGTCAGGCTCTCTAACTTGGTTGACACATGTCATTCTATAAAAGTGTTTACATTGATGCTCATGCTGTTGATCACTGGATTGTCTAGTACAGACTTGAATATTTTCAGACTGCTGTCATATAGCTTGAATATGGCTGAGTGCAGGTTTAAACAACAAACAAACATTGATCGTTTCCAGACAGATGGCCTCTCTCTGTTTTGTTCGTGCCTGAAGTACTGGCTAGCACAGAACGCCCAGTGTCCACATGTCCTGATGTCCACTCACTTCCACAGTCTCGTCCACCAGAATATGCTGCCCCAGTCAGACCAGCTCCAGTTCCTAGTGAGTTACCTACCTTCCTAACTGCAGTATGCAGTACACAAGGGTTAGCCGAGGCAATCTACATGGCTGTGAGTGATTTTTTCAGGAACAAAACTCCATGGAAGCAAGATCTGTTTCATGAAAAAAAAGGGACACCTATATTCGAAGTGTTACCAAACCTTCAAAGATTTTAAAGACACACTGCAATCTGTGTCTTGTGTTAAATTCTTGTTCTTCGAGACACTAGACTCAAGGAGGAGCTTGTGTTCCTAAAAATTTTCTAGACACACCACATCCAGCCATGTCTGTTATCTGATATTCTTGTTCTTCGTGACTCACTACACAATGGTGAGGAGCTTTGTGTTCCTGTACCAGATCACACTGCATCCATCCTTCCAATCCTTCCTTCCAGATTGTTGAGGGACTCAAGAGATAAAGACTGTGTCATATTAAATAAAACTTCTTTAGGTAAAATAGTAAATAGTCCCTGTGGTGAGCTGGTGTTACTGTACCAGATTGTTGAGGGACACACTACATCCAGCTATGTCTTGTGTTGTCCGATATTTTTGTTCTTCGAGACACTAGACTCCCTACACAATGGTGAGGAGCTTGTGTTCCTGTACCAGATTGTTGAGGGACACACTACATCCAGCTATGTCTTGTGTTATCTGATATTCTTGTTCTTCCAGACACTAGACACACTACACAATGGTGAGGAGCTTGTGTTCCTGTACCAGATTGTTGAGGGACACACTACATCCAGCTATGCCAGTCACATTGCAGCACAGGCAGGATTACCTCAGGACTTGGTGAACAGGGGAACTCAGGTGAGTCAGATACTTGTATCCTGATGTCTACCCAATATACTTAGGTTGGTTGGTTGGCTGTTTAGCGCTGCACTCAACAGTATTCCAGCTATAAGGAGGCGGTCTGTAGATAATTGAGTCTGGACCAGACAATCCAGTGATGAGCATCGATCTATGCAATTGGGATACGATGACATGTGTCAACCAAGTCAGTGAGACTGACCACCCGATCCTGTTAGTCGCCTCTTACGACCAGCATTGGTTACTGAAGACCAATTCTAATCCGAATCTTACGGATCCCAATATACTTAGACCAGAGAACTCTCTTCAGATATTCTAAATTATGAGTCAGTTGTAAATAAAACAGTCTCTGATGATGAATTGCTGTGTCTGTGTACTTCTACTTGTTACTGATAAAGGTGAGGTGGGTTTAACGTCGTGCTTGAGAATATTTCGCTCATATGACGATGTGCATGCGTGTGTATGTGTATGTGTGGCTGCTTGTGCTAGCCCAGACTGAAGATGGTTTTATCATGCTAGCCCACTCAGACACATTATACTGACTTCGAGCCGACCAGTCCTTGTTGTACCCATTAATGCCGAGCGCCAGGCAGGGACCAAAAAGTACCATATTTTAACGTCTTTTGGTATGACGCGGCTGGGGATCAAATCCGCGACCTTCCGCTCTCCGGGCGGACGCTCTAACCACTACTCCACGGAGGTGGTCTGTTACTGATAGAAACAATAATGGATAGATGTAGGTCACATGTCTGTTACCTTTCATATCACTTTCACAAAACTTTTCATGTGAACTTTGTATTATTTTGTTTCCTTGGTGCCAAAGAAGGTCCCTTATCCCTGGAACTGCAGTTTTACCTCATATACCATGATGCATGTTACATACTTTTTTTCTTTATTCAATTCTGTCTTGTGTTATGATCACATCTTGCAGTAACAGCTTCTTAGTTTGTTCTTTGGGGTCCCAAAATAAACCTGGCAGAATTCTTTGAAAGACTGAGATACAGGAGCATCATTTTCATTTTGAATCGGATGTTTCACAGTGTTTTTATATCTGAGGTCAAAATCATCCTATACACATCACTGTAAGCTCCGTAATCACTCTCTCCCTCTCATCTATGGAGCACTCACATGTTCTGACAGTTGTACACTTACCCGTTATTATGAGTTTTCTGAAACTTGATTTCTTTTACTGCTGGAAATGCCTTAGTATATTCCACCATAGACAGTATTCCCACTGTGGTATTTGACTTGAGCCAAATATCTGATACTCCTGTTTGCCACCCTGACTTGGAAGGTTTTGTTCTAAACTTGCACCAGTGTATGGGCAACATTTGCAGTTCAGACCCAAGGTGCAACTTGAATCTGCACTATTACTGCATACTTACAGACTCTGTTTTAGCAGAAGCATCCTCATGCAGCTTCTCATCCTGAATAACCCTGTGACATGCCTTGTTCTTCTTCCAGTGCTGCCCTTAAATTGTATAATCTCATCCTTCAATTTTACTTCTGCCAATTTGAATTAGGAATAATTCTGAGAAGCTTAAATGAACAAGGGACAACAAAAATGTTTAGGTTAATAATGATCATCTTACCACGATGTAAATTTATAATTGGTTTATTATGCCCCGCCATGAAGTGGAAGGGGGATATAGGTTTGAACTCTGTCCGTCTGTCCCTCCAAGATGATAGGTAGATATGTGAGGCAGAACCCAAAGTGGTGCCTTTTGCTGTTTGCAGATTTTTGGCATTTTTATTTTTTTCGGTTTCCATGGAAACGATTCGGACTTAGTCTCAAAAGGGAGGGGTAGGTTTCGTTTCCGGAGCATAACTCGAAAACCATTCAATATCTTTCAACAGAACTTGGCAGATATATGAGGGAGATCTTGAAGTAGTGCCTTTTGCTATTTACAGATTTTTTGCATTTATATTTTTCATGATTTCCATGGAAACGATTTGGACTTAGTCTAAAAAAATCAAGCTGGACTTTAAGTAACTGTCAGATGATTCATCTTCTGATGACTCTTGTTTACATCAGTTGTTAGAAAATAGAATCTGCATGATACAATCAGTGGCAATCACTGTCAAAGACTTCGCTTTCAATACATCTTAGTAGGTATCGACATGCAGTTACCTGTATCACAATATCTTGCATTATGTTAATAATTTTTATGATACACAGCCTTGCTAATCATACCTTGTCTTTGCCTATGACAATACGAAATGATATAAAAAGGGCTTTTTGCATCAATATTTATTTGCAACTTTATGGAAAACAATCTCAGATTCTTACATGGCACTTATAATCCTTTGTGTGTACTCCAGGTGTCGGCCCTGCTGCGAGAGTGCCGCCAAGTACACAGACTGGATACAGAGGATACAACGTCACAGCTCAAGAGGTCAGTGAGTATGGTTTTTTCACAGCTTTTTAGCAATATTCCAGCAATATCAGGGCAGGGGAAACCAGAATTGGGCTTCACACATATTACTCGTATGAGGAATCGAACCCAGGCCTTCGGCAAACGCTTTAACCACCAGGCTACTCCACCATCCCAGCTCAAGAGGTGATGACAGATATTCTTGTTGAGGCTAACTGTTCTTGCTATGGTGTTTGCTTTAACCAGGAAAGACAGCAGATTGTCTCATCCTTGTGATGATTGAGTTATAATAGTTCCCCATTAATGTCTTTTCATTTAAAGAGTGGTACGTGGTGAAGCTCGGTAATTTGGTGGATTTGCAGATGACATGGGAAATTGCTTGTGAGTCTGTTCTAGACTGAATGATTTTCAGTTTGTCATCATAGACTTGCTGAGTTTGATACAAATTATAACTTTGCTTTATACCTACATGTAATGCAGTGCCCTAAAATTTAGACTAATATCTAGAAATGAACATATTTTACAGAAAAAAAAGGTCCATAAAATATAATCATAAAATATAACGAAAAGGAGCCCAGAGACTTCATTTTCAGCTTGAAACTGTGGAAATCAAGACATGACACATATTCTAGACTTGCATGTTCTTCATTGGCTATATTTGTTTCAGGGCAGTATGACAGACTACCTAAGATTATACAGTATGCAGTACATTTATATGACTGTACTACATATGACGATTGTTGATCTCTCATTGTATTGTGTTTTGACTGGCTTGTGTTTAGATGTGAGCGGATGGTGACCCGGTTCCTGCAGCTGGACATGAAGACTGATGATCTCCAGTCCTTCCTGAAAGACTTCATTCTACCGGTCAGCAAGGGCAAGCACTGACCATCTACCTAATCAACCTCTGTCGTGATCAAGATGTGCAAACATCAATCTTATTAAAATCAGATCCTTTTATACATACCTCTCTGCATGAAAATCTGGTGACTTGTAGCAGGTTGTGTCTTCTGAACTCTGAGCTCTGAGCTCTGAAAGGGTGTGTGGATTCTTTACCCAATCAGTCAGTATTCACGATTGGTGTTTCAAAGTAACAGGACATTGGGTCCTTTAAGTTCTAGATGTCTGTCTGACCCACTGAAAACTCACAGTACATGTTGAATTAAAAATAAACACATATTTCAGATTTAGCATTTCTTATAATTGGCATTGAAATTATTAACAAACATAAAATTTATAAACAACAAACAAGTGTCACATAAAACAACTTCAGACTGAAGTTGTCTTATGTGACACTTGTTTGCTGTTTAATTTCATTGAAATATACAGTCGGATACTGAGGCTGGCGGGTTGTAGACTTCCATCGGACTGTTGGTGAATCTGCTGGATTTGTCTGAGGGTCTGACACTATTCGTGAACACTTATCAGTTGACAGCTTTCTATAGCAATTCAACTTCCTTTCTATTCCAACTGTAATCTGAAATTTGTGTCTATTTTGATGTACACCCTTTTGGGTATAGATGCCATGGCCCTCAGAAACACGATATGTTACTTGTCCACATAGTCTACATGACTGTATTATTTTTCTTTCAGATTACCTTGATTATATTCATTTTGTTCAGATGTGCTTGTGATAACCAAGATAATAGTGGGACTTATCTATTTGCTTTCGGAATACCTCAATAATGTTTATTTTCAATGTATGACATCAGATCAAATTTAGAAGCCTTGATGCTAACTTGCTGATTAGAAAGTTCACTTGATGTGACCTGGTAGAATGTCCTCGGATCATCACGCAGAGAGACATTATGTCGTAGGAAATATCTGATTTTAATGAGACTGTACAGCTGGATTTAGATGAAGTCAGCAATTTTTCAGCAGTCATGGCAGCAGCCTGTAGATAATCAGCTCTAGATTGAATGTATCAGGCAGGATGAGTTAGGTCACATGTTTTGGGGCTTGTCAAAGTAACAAGCTAACATGGGCTGGTTGATCCCAGGGACTGCTGAGTAGTGTACTACCAGGTGATGGGTGATCCCCTGTGAACATCACATTTTAGATTCAACTGTCAACACTAGTTTAGACCCCAGGACATATTGCTGACTATTCCACATCTCGCTTCACTAGTACTGTTAAATGTTTGCAGGTACCCTTTCACAGAAAAACAGGGCAAACATCCATATAAACACAGTTTATCACAACAGGTGTAAATGCATAACACTGATATTCATAATTTACAGCAGAGTACAAGTGATAATTGTTTCATTGCACAAATGTGAAATGTGAGACTTGCCAATTTAAAGAAAGGTCAGTTTTTTGACAGGCATATCTGATGGATACTTTAAGGAAATGATTTCTTATGATAATGGTTCTTCCTTGAAATGAAGCTGAAAAGCGTCCGCTCCTTCCATGTAAATATTGAATACTGTATGTATGACTTCATCTCCAGGCCGCCAGTAACATATTATCACCTCCTGGCATTCCTCTGTATATCCCTACCATATGTTGAGTGGTATACTGTGTTAAACACATTCATCTACAGTTCTGGCATTTGTATACAGTTAAATAGTGATATATACTGTGCCAACTATTGTCTTTTACATGATATATCATGTAAATCTTTTGTTGAATAAATTATTGGAAAATTGTGTCGACATGAATGTGTGTTTGTTCAGTTTCAAAGATGAAAATCTGGTAGATTTCACTAATTTTCAGGAAGAAAAATTAAAGGAAGAAAGTTACTGAGAAAATGTCACAGAGGAAGCATATACAGCAAGTATTTCTCACGTACTTTGTTTTTCTTCCACATTTCTCACGTACTATGGGTTTTTTTCCACATAGGTGTGTGAATGCAGGGAGTGAAAACCACAGGGGCGTGTCACGCTTAGAAACAGCGTTAGAAAGACACATACCGGTAGGTATATAGACCCTACCCTAGTACTATATAATATTACTAGGGTAGGGTCTATATACCTATATGTCTTTCTAACGCTGTTTCTAAGCGTGACACGCCCCTGTGGTGAAAACTACAGAAAGAACTGAGTTACACCTAAAGTTATAAAAAGAATCAGTGTCAGTAAGCAGTTATCTTATATGTTTGTTTGTTGCACTTTGCAATTTTCCAGCTATATGATGGTGTCTACACACCTTTGAGCAGGACGTTACCCCACATGGGCAATACTATACATGAACAATACCCCACAAGGACAATGCACCACATATACATAAACTGTATATTAATAACAAAAATGGTGATTTATATTTATGTTATTTTGACATCAGATATATCAGTGAGAAATCAGTTGAATTCCTTTATTCTTATTATCCCCTGCCGTGCGTTAAGCTCGAAGCAGGGGATATAGTATTAGGCTCCGCCCGTCTGTCCGTACCGACATACGAATTGGAATATCTTAAGAACCGTTGACTAGATTCTTTTCATATTTGGTACCTAGTTTCATCACAGTATAAGAAAGGTCCAACTCAGGTTTGGTGACCTTGACCTTCATTTCAAGGTCACAAGGGGACTTTAACAATTTACCTGCATGTTAATCTATATCAAGAACCGTTCACTGGATTTTCTTCATATTCAATACCAAGCTTTATCTAGGGTAGGCGCAGGGCCAAGTCGATTTTGGTGACCTTCACTTAATTTTCAAGGTCACATAGACACTTTGAAGATTTCAGCATGTTAAATTGCATGTTAAGATAGTCAGCAAGATATCGCAAAAAAATATTCACTGGATTTTCTTCATATTTGACACCAAGCTTCATCTAGGGAAGGCCCAGGGCCCGGTCAATTTTGGTGACCTTCACATAATTTTTAGGATCACGACGACACTTTGAAGATTTCAGCATGTTAACCTGAATTGTCAGCAAGATATTTTAAGAACTGGATTTTCTTCATAGACTTTTAAGACTTCTCTTGAATGTTTTTCAATAAGCAATTTCTTTAGTACTAGTTTTGCATATTTCATACACTATGACATTCATGTCAAGGTCAAAGTCAGTCTTGAAAATATGTGTGTGTTTGAACAACTAAAGAGCCAGATATCAAGAGAGGTTGATTAGTCATGTTTTTGTTGACATTTAACTTCATCTTAAACTTTCATTTTTTTTACTTTATAAGTTTGATTTGATAATTTGCGGCGGGGGATTATGTCACCTTAGTGACAATGCTTGTTCTACTAGTACTGGGACATAATAACGTGTGTTTGACGACAAAGCCAAAAGAATAATATTTCTAAAGTATTTCAGCAGTCAAATTTGACTTAAAAACTCCAAAGATGCATCCTGACATTCGGATTCGGCTCATCGGAAGCGCCCGTAAAATATATGTTGCTTCAACACAACAAAGCCCCCTTTCCTATTCATTGACCCGATATATATGATAAGGTGTATTATCAAAGTGTCTGACCATAGTTACTGTTTTGTAAAGGATAAATGTATTGTTATTTTAGCTACCATCGGCCTAGGGTAGAATACTAGTTTGTCATTCCACACATTCCTCACCACTCGCCCCTTCCCGTAACCTCCAAGAAAACTCGTCCCCCTTTCGTTACATGCGAAAATACGACAAACCAATCAGAACGAGCGTAATGATTGCGGTGCTTTGATATTTAAATATAATCCCGAGTACTGAAATCGTTTATGGCATTATGTCATTATTTAAAAAATCATGAAAAATATATATCGTCACATGGAAAGTACAAAGAACGTAGCTAACAGAATTATATTGCCTCGTGAAGTTTTCTGGCGCGAAGCAAGCCATTTTTTTCGTGTAAGCCCGATAGGTTGCTAACAGAGACCATATACCGGTATATGGTCTCTGGTTGCAAAGTTTTATATTTAGATATCATTGAGGGCTTGCCCAACCTTTTTAGCAACAATCATGTGTAAGCAGGGGCTTTTTTTATGTTGGTAGCTACGCCCCTTGTCTTTAATAAGGATAATGCCATGGACGGTGAGATATTCAAATACACGCACGTGCGTTTGTTTACACAATAAGTCCAGTTGAGTATTTCTGGCGATCTTGCGGGCTTGTTTTGGAGATTGTACGTGCGCTTCACAACATTTTTATGAAACAAGATTATAAATCGCTACGAGTTTCAAAACAATAATATTATATTCATCTATAACAAATTAACTTTAATCGTAAATATTGGACATATATTTCACATCTCTGGGGATAGTCTGACTTTTAGGGGTCATTCACATTTTTTTCACCGTATTCATATTAAAATTCCACTCAGTGGTATGCAAGCCAAGTTACACGAATGTTCAGTTTGAGAAATATTTTGAAGTCATTTTTAAGTATATCTGCTTAGGGATTTAATGTAGCTGAAAAACAGATTATTTCACTTGCATAGTCAATACAAACAAATCCCATTTGCGATTCTTAAACCTTATTAAGAAATACACATTTTGGAAATATAAGGTGAACAGTTGGCCATAATAACGTCAGAATATGTGTTGAACAAATATTTCTTCTCTTTCTTTGAGTTGTATCAAAGAGGTTTAATTTTTAAAATAAAGATATAAAAATGAAAACATCAATACAATATACGAGTGCTTCGGTACCATTGGAATCAAACAGGGATAGAGTTATCGTTCCTGATTAAAGTAGTTCTTATGTTCATGAAATCCTTCCAGAGGGGCACGAGTCGCTAATCGGCTTGTGCCGGAATAACACGAGCTGGTCGCGAATGAAATGAACTCCATAGCTGGATGATGTGCTGATTTTATATTTATCGTTCTTGAATTTTTATAAAGATGGGGAGTTTATGTACAATATGTCTGCCAGTGTAACAAATGGGTGGATACGCCTGTCGGCATAACCTTAACTTTGTGAAACGCAATGAAACGATCTGACTACTGGATTTTTAACAATAAAGATATTGAAAGGAAACACGTTAGTTCTAACGTGACATAAAGTATATATGTAGATATTTTGAAAAAGATGTAAACAATGTAACCTTCGTGAAATCGGGCATTGCCGCTTGAGCCATGGGGTCCTCCGGCCTGGCAACCTGTGTTGCCATGACACACTTTACCCTGTGTACAAGACATGTTCTCACCCGTCTCGCCTATAGTCATATAACCACAATTATATCGCATTTGAAATGACGTCATAGAATTAATTTCCAAACCGTCTCTATGCGAACACGCAGAGCTTCTGAACTGTCGAATATGTACACATGTTGAAAAGAAATAGCATCGCAAAATATAACAAGAACACTATATAAACATCAAGTTATGAATCGTAATGGTTACCTCTGCATGATGTACTGTGTTTCTTTTCATTACTAAACAAACTTTAAGACAGTGTCTGCGTAACCTGTTTGGAATTAGATTGTTTACACATTCCTAAGTTTAGTTTCTCTCTACATACCTGCTACATAGCGATACAAACGCGTTTGACTAGCCTATACAAGAGTTAATATAAACTTCAAAAGGTATTGGTAAAATAAGTGTGGTCCGAAGATGTCATCATTTCGGTTTGAACAGGCCCCAGATCAACACCATGGAAACCAGGTGGAACTTTATCCATCTATAGGAGACACGGTTGGCCTTGTCATAAGCGCCGCAATCAGCTGTGCAGAGTTGCGTGCCTTTGACGTACCAGAACCCAGTGATCCCGGAATCGAATCCTAGTTCGCAACGATAAGGCTCCTAGTTAGCCTTGCTCCAAGGCTGTACTGAATGCTGAGCTCATGGATGTATAGTAATTCTATCTTTCGAAGAGGCAAGTCTAGATACGCGGACTAAAGGACCCCAGTCTGTTATGTATTATAATATTCTTCAGAAATTATCATTTAAACTATTATTTGTTTTACCTCATAGACCTTATTTTACCGTATAGACCTTGTGCAGGTCTAGCTCATAGTTTGTCAACACGATACCTGTTCTTGTAGTAGACTTCAAAGACCTGCGTCAATTTTGATTCCGTCCCACATCAAGGTGACACGCCCTGTTATAACTGAGGCACTGTTCAAAGCTGCGTTAAACATAACTCACTCACTAATTCCGGACCATGTACGCTACATTCGTCCATACAGGCCCTGTCGCAGTGTATGAACTAAGCTAAAAATCCAGCCAGACATCAGGGCTGGTAACATTTTGAAGTAAAACTAAACTCAATCAGTCACGTCGGCATGACAGGGGCGCTGGGGCAGACTAGTGGTTAAGGCGTTCGCTCGTCACGCCAAAGACCCGGGTTCGATTCCCCACATGGGTACAACGTGTGAAGCCCATTTCTGGTGTTTCCCGCCGTGATATTGCTGGAATATTGCTAAAACCGGCGTAAAACTAAACTCACTCACTCAGTCACTTCAGCATGCTTTAACCACAAGGCTACCAAACCGCCCCTCTAATGTTGAGTAGTAGATTGTCATGATGTTATTACTACCCCAGTTTTACAATAGAGGCGCAATGTAGGTCCCGGTAGTTACCTCTTTATTTCAGCTGACTATATTAGTTGGTGAACTTAATGTTATAAATCATCACATACTACTTCACGTACAAACGGTGGCATGTGTACACAGACTCAACAGTACCAAACCACGAAACATTCAGATACACTTGGTATTGGTACACCGTAAACCGTATGTTTATATGAATACACAATGCATTTAGAAAGTGGTCGAAATAAAGGGTTATCTTCGGGGTTACACTTTCGCAGTAAAGTGTAGATTCTATTCAGCGGATACAGCTTTTGAGAGGGGGTACATTATTGAGAAAAGGAGGGGTGCACACTCATTTTCACCTGAGTTTCAATGGCCATTTACAAACTTTCAGCACAAAGTAGTGGGTGCGCACCCTGCTTTTCTGGATCCGCCTATATATAGTACTTTTGGGATTGAGTCCCATCCGGGCTTCAAACGCACATTCTCAGAGTCATTCACAAACACACCTGAACTGAACTGAACTTTATTCACTCAGGCTGCAAACTGCAGCATAAGAGGTACATAAATAATTGTACATTTATACAACATAGTATATACAAACGGTATCATAGGTGCAATGTACATCGAGCAAGTTACATTAGTTATTGAAGGTATTTCTAAATAAAGCCATAATTAGTTTACAAAAATGAAAGTGTTCTTAAAGTTCCCATCTTATTGGTGTTAAATAGGATACAGTCACACAGTCAGCCATTAAGACCAAATCAGACACCACAAAAAGTCTAACAACTGGTAGTCTAGATTACGTATGTGTGTTCCCCTCTGACTAGTCTGTCTCACAGTCCCGAACCACATTATTTTCCCTACTGCCTAGACCTCCCTGCAATAGGCGGATCCATAAAGAGGGGTGTTTCCCCAGTCCTGAAGGTTTATTAAATGACCATTGAAACTCGGGTGGAAATGAAGTGTGCACCCTCCCTTTTCTCAATAGTGGTCCCCTTTCTCAAAAAGCTGTATCCGCTACTGGACGTCCCTGCAATACTAAAGCCTCAAATAAAGCAAGCCAATGTTTCCCCAGGTTACATGGGTTTATTTGTTAGTATCAAAATTATATATATTCAGGGAGTAAGCGTTAGTCTACCCTCTGACAAGTACATTAGCAACCACGGCCGCCGAAAACTATGGATACACTATGTCAGTTAGAAAGTGGTCAATCCCAAACATAATGTATGTATTGTTACGTAAATATATATTTTGTGAAACCTGAAGCATGAGAAATGTAGATTCACATTGTGACGGGTGTTGGTTTTAAAATGCAGTTCTATCAAACAGTTACCTCTGTCCATCCGCATTGAAGTCGAACACTGGGTTTTGTGTTGGAGATATAAAAAAATGTTTTCTGTCAGTTTCAGGGGAGCAAACCTAATTTAAGGAACCACAACATACTTTCCCAGCATATCCAGTGAACAAATGTGTTCTCTATGCAAAACCAAATGAGTTTGTTCATTTCTTCTCTCTACTGAACAAAATAAAATTATTATTATTGTTATATGATACTTATATAGTGGGAGTGCTTGCTCAAGGCGCTAATGAATATTGTTTATGAATATGTGGGATGTTTGATAACATTTAGACTCGGTTTCATGGAAAGTATAGATCTCCTTGCGTGCATGTACCAGGATTATCATTTAAGCCACGTATCTAGACCATACGCTTTTATTGCTCTCTTCTTAATCTTCTTATTGTATGTGCCACGCAACCAAACACATTCGCCTTTAACCGGACTTGGGTGAGTGTCGAAACAGCAATTGGCTAAAATATACAAACAATAAATAATTAATATTTCCGGCTAAAGAACGTTTCTAGGAAATAAGTGTCGTATTTTAGTCAACAATTAACCATTACTTGGCTCAATTAATGACCAATCGATATCGATAATTGATAAAGTGTTTCTACATGTTGACACGGTCCCCAAATAAATTCAGTGAAAGGCTCGCACTGGCTAGCCTCGATAAACCACTCAACACAGAAGTGTATAACCGACACTATTTTCTGTACTTCTCATCTCATACTTTTTGTACTGTAGAAATATAATCTTTCAATTCTGAAACGATATATGTATATTTCTGTATCAATTTTGTATCTACCTTGCAGTTTTATTTACTTTAGCAAAATAATCTTATTCAGTGCGGCGATGAAGTGGCGATAGGCGAAGGTCAAGGCCAAATTATATGGCACGAATCACAGAGATAATGACTTGATAATATTGTAGTGAAAAATGCCGTCGTAATGTTGGGAAAGAAAAGAAAAAGAGTTGTTGGAAATATACTGTGGTCGAAGAGAAGCTACAAAGAAGGCTCTTCGGTATGATTATCGTTTTTGTTTTGAATCTGTTGTCATATGATTGGTGTGTCGCCAGCCTGGTTTCCGAATCAGAAACCGGGTTGTCATTTTGCGATTCGAAGACCGATGTTGTCGTCCATACGGTGTGTTACTGTCGATGTACTGTAATCGACAAGTACGATTAGTTGTGAAACACACAAATAAATTTGTCACGAGTTTGTGTTACAGATTCGATCAAATTCATTTCGAAATTGCATCATTTCATGAATATCTTTGTGTATTTAGCCGAGCATGTTTTCATTTTCGAAATGGTAAGAATCCAATGATTCGTGGTCCTCAGGTTATTCTGAAACCATTCACCACGCCCTAGATTATGGTATGTCTGTACTTTCTTTTGTTTAAATAGTTTAATAGGAATACGTTCTAAGATATCTCAATCCCATGACCACGATGAGTCATTTGAACACAAATACACGTAGTATATTCACTTTTAACTTATTAAGTATCCTCGAGTCATCTGTTTTCGTTCAACATCTGTTTTCGGTCGCCTGTTTGCGTGTTTATTTCTCGCGGTTATTAGCGAGATATTACGTCACCAGACAGGTTATTTTTGGCAGGAGGTCGACTGCTTCAGCACTGACTAACAAAATGATTTGTGTGAAATTTAGGAAGGTACATGATTGCAAACACATGTAAATGTTACGTTTTAGAACCAAGTTTACAAATGCATAAATTTTCATGTAATCAAAATGCTATATCTAAAATATCGTCAGCTCCACCTTTTCAGTATAGCGTCAGTCTGCTTGTTTATGGTATGATGTATCATTATCACATGACATATCACGCGGCGTGCTGCCGTGAAAAAAATATATGGAAACTGGATAGGGTCATCTCTTATTACGATTTTCCAAAATACTCATTTAATTTTCAAACTCCAATGAATATTTCTGTGTCATGGGCCCAGTGTACTCATCCTGCATGATGTGTTTTGGGTCCACCTCAAGCTGTGCACCTCCGCATGCGGTAGTGAGATCTTCTGATGAGTTTCGTGCCCTTTGTCAGCTTAACCGAGGAGGAAAAACATGTCTGGACATGTGATGTAACTAGCAAAGTCTTATCATGATTAACTTTCACATGAAATTATTACGACCATAGTTTCTAATAATTATTATTGGAACTATTACAAATATTCTTTTTGGACTGGATGTTTATCAACTTTATATTATAAAAATATCAGCATAGCACGAATACTGCACTTAGATTTCTGTTTTACGGAGAACCAATGAAGTGAACGAAAACAGATGACGTCACTTCCGTATTCACGATCTGTGCGTAGCGAACTATGAGGCCTGCTGTGCGGGTGAAACACGAGGTTAATCCGTCAGATATTTGAATATCATAAATAAATAACAAACAAACGAGGTAGGTTTGTTTATTGTCGATTTATTCATGCACTTTATGTTACGTTGGTCGGCAATCCTTACATGACCGAAAACCGAATACACAAGGATACTTTATGTTTAAGACGTAGGGTAACAAAGTTTCACTTTATTTAGATTATGTTTGATATAAATGTAACATGATTAGGTTAACCTTTATGCCCATTTCCATTTCCACAGTGAAGTGATGTTTAAATCTTGTTTATCAAATTTTTATGATGTCAACACCATGATCCTTAGGTATGTGGGAAGTAATCACTTTAATCAGTAATAAATTACTTCACCAGTCATTAACATGTTTTATCGTCATGTAATAAGTGGAATAACCAGCTTCCCCACAATGCATAAGCCAGGTATATAGCTGAAATAGCTAGTAAGACTAAGAATTGAGTGTGTTGACAAATCAAACAGGGCCAGATCTGTCATGTCATTCATGATCTTTCAAATGTTTAATGATTATGTTATGATTTCGTTGGTCGTTTTGATCTTCACTACCAGTTTGTTGAACACTGAGAATATGTCCAAAAATCTGTCAACACATACAACTGCATCCTAACTATTGTTCACACAAGAACGTTCCACATTTGTTTTTGTCCAAGTGAACCGAATGCCATGTTTGCAAACTTAATTAACTGAGGCTTTACACGAGTTAAGTTTATGCATGCTAAATAAATGAATTCCCTATAGTTACTGTGAGTGTGACTCAAGTTCTGGCATTGCCTTGTCGTCATGATCAAGTGTTACTGTAGAAATTATTTTCTGCAAAAAGAGCTAAAAACCATAGCTTTGGGTGGATTTTCTCGAAGGTATTCATTAAATTTTCAGTCAGCAGAAGAAACTCTTTATATCCATTTACTGTGTTGTCGCACTAGATGTATGAGTTTTATTTTTACCATGGATTCCAACTTATTGTTTGCACTATAACTTGTCAAATTCATAATTGTACATAGTCAGACCCAAACCTGTTTTGAAAAAGGTTTTGAGAAATAACTATGCTGCTGTCCTGATTAAAGGGGCGGGTGGGGTAGCCTAGTGGTCAAAGCGTTGGGTCGTCACGCCGAAGACCCGGGTTCGAATCCCCACATGGGTACAATGTGTGAAGCCCATTTCTGGTGTCCTCCGCCGTGATGTTGCTGGAATATTGCTAAAAGCGGCGTAAAACCAAACTCAGTCAGTCAGTCCTGAATAAAATCTTCTGAAACTGATACTGAAGGACAAGTTAGGGCTAGTTGAGTTAACTGTTTTCAATAGAAAGTGATCATTATAATGTGACAAGACATATACTTATATAACTGACCACTGGCCATGTTGAACATGCAACAGAATTAATAACACTAATAGACTCATATCGGCCCCAGAGAAAGAAGTGACTAGTTACAGTATGTTATGCATATGACCTGATATATCTCACAGAGCTCCAGATAAGATTTAGCTCATGTGGGTACTGTACCCACTGTATTTTTGTACTCGCCTAAGTATTATGTCATTGAGTAAGTTTACTAAGCAGGTGACCGCCTCCGTGGTGTAGTGGTTAGAGCGTCCGCCCAGAGAGCGGAAGGTCGTGGGTTCGATCCCCGACCGCATCATACCAAAAGATGTTAAACTATGGTACTTGTTGGTCCCTGCCTGGCACTCGGCATTAATGGGTACAACAAGGACTGGTCTGAGTGAGGTATTCATGCTTCACTACGGCATGGTATCTCAGTGAGCTAGCAGTAGCACTATAAAACCAGCTTAAGTCTGGGCTAGTACAAGTAGCCACACATACACATACACACGCATGCAGGTCGTCATATGAGCGAAATATTCTCAAGCACGACGTTAAACCCAATTTCACCTCACCTACTAAGCAGGCCTGATGTCATACTTAATCAAAACCAACTTAAATATAATGGAAATGATTTCATAAAAAATCACTCATCCTATACTGACAGTACAACACGTGTCCTATACTATCAGTACAACTTGATAGCAATCGATGTCTTTTTCATTACGCAAGCGATTTTTATAAATATATTCTGTATGCATTTGTTTTAAACTTTTTGCGTATCTAACATTTTAAATGCGTAATTGGTATGCAACAATTATATTTCAATGCGTAATTGGAAATTTTCTATGCTTATTTTACCCGGATACGCAGCTTATCTGGGCCTCTGTCTCATTTTTGGTCTGTCAATATATTCAGACATGTTGTGGACATTGCTAAACATCCTAACTGTACTGGAGGTTGTTACCTTGTTATAGAATTCCTTCTAATTGATGATTTTGATTGAACAATGTCAGACATGACTTTGAACAAAATCTAGTTACTGAAATGTTTATGGATTTTTAATGAGGGATCCTTTCATCAGGCCTGGCATGGTATACGAATGTTAACATGGTTGACATTTGTTAACATGGTCAGCTGATGATGGAATGATCATGATGATGGTATGGTATAAACATTTTATTTCCTTGGTGTGTTCACAAATGTTATGAAAATGTTGCAGCTATTATTTGTTGATAATGATTAGGGGGTGTATATCAGGAAAGGAGGTTAAAGAACATCTGATTCATTCATATTACTAAAGTAATCTACTACGATAAGGTAAATGGAATAATGTGAGAGAATCTGGTATTGTTGAACTCCCTTATGAGTAGTATTATCTCATTTAGTTAAGGGTATTCAGTCAGTGGCGGATGACATATGCAGAAGTGGAATGAATTCTCCCGGGTAGACAGTTTCTATTTATGAGCTAGCAGATCATGCTGATTGTGTGTCATTCCTCAAATAGCTCAACTTGTGATGTTTTGTTCATATCTGCCAATCACAACCGACCAGTTATCAAATGTAGCAGCCTAAAAATGTCTTTCTACATCCTGAAGGTTGTCTTGGCTTCCTGGAAGATTTTCCCGATAGTTTGTGAAACTGGTATCTCCAGTTCTAAACACTTACATTTATAGCAAGCACTCCTTGGCCTTGTATTTGCATACTTTCATTATTGGGTTAGGGTTGGTCTCCAGCAATGACTAGTCACACAAGGTGACTTATTAATCGATTGTGGTATTTTGGGGACTTGGTTGATATGTCCACATGACCTGCTCCTCGTAATATCAAACACTGATTTGTCTGGTGCCGACTTTGTTGTTTAGTGTATCTTTACACAACCAACTTAATTTTATATGCACTGTTACCATGGTTTCAAGGCCCCATACTTTAACATTTCACCTTACACCTTCTGTTGGATCTACTGTCAATTTGTTCTGGGATTACGGTTCAATTAAATGTAGTGTTACTGTTTCTGGGTTGCACCTTCTTCTGGTTGTTTCAAGATTATTAATCATGTTAATAATGATCAGTTTTGATGAACATTTGTTTGACCTGGTGTGTCATTGTATGCTGATGAGATGGATCATCAGCACTCATGCTATCTACCACTCATTACTTGATCACAGACTGCTGATTCAGCTGATCTACTGCTCACTCAGTCCCTGTAAGGTAAAGCAGCATCAATGTGCTTCACTCACATCATTTTACTTGCGTTACTTCTTCGATTTGTTCTGAGAGAGACCGAGTAGCTTTGCCAACTGTGAAATTTTGTT